ACAACACAGTGTCAGTGCAATTAAAACATAACAATGCAACAAACAGGATCAACAGCATCAATCCACAACAATTAACAATCAACAAGACAGATCAACAAGACAAACAACATAACGCCTCAGTTGAAATCAGATCCGTTCTCATAATCCTTGTGCCATTCCTATGTTCCATTTACCGTCTTCCTTTGATTGGTTGCACTGCTTAACCAAACGCTTGTTCATAAAGCCAGGTCTTAACCATTCTCCGAAACGTCAGCAACGAAGGTGCCTGTCTGATGTCTGCCGGTAAGGCATTCCATAGCCGAGGGGCCACCACTGAGAAGGCCCTGTCTCTCGTCCCCGCCAAGCGCGCCTGTGACGCAGGCGGGACCGAGAGCAGGGCCTCCCCAGACGATCTTAATGTCCTAGTCGGTTCATAGGTGGAGATGCGTTCGGAGAGGTAAGTGGGGCCAGAACCGTTTAGGGCTTTATAGGCTAAAGCCAGCACCTTGAATTGTGCTCGGTAGCGAATTGGCAGCCAGTGGAGCTGGCTCAACAGAGGAGTGGTGTGCTCCCTGAGTGCCGCTCCCGTTAGCAACCTGGCTGCCGAGCGCTGGACCATCTGAAGCTTCCGGGCAGTCTTCAAGGGCAACCCCACATAGAGCGCGTTGCAGTAATCAATCCGGGATGTAACCAGAGCGTGGACTACCGTGGCCAAGTCAGACTTCCCAAGGTACGGGCGCAACTGGCGCACAAGTTTTAATTGTGCAAATGCTCCCCTGGACACCGCCGAAACTTGGGGTTCCAAGCTTAGCGAAGAGTCCAGGATCACACCCAAGCTGCGAACCTGCGTCTTCAGGGGGAGTGTAACCCCGTCTAACACAGGCTGTAACCCTATACCCTGTTCGGCCTTTCGACTGACCAGGAGTGCCTCTGTCTTATCTGGATTCAGTTTCAATTTGTTCACCCTCATCCAGTCCGATACAGCGGCCAAGCAGCGGTTCAGGACCTGAACAGCCTCCTTAGTAGTAGGTGGAAAGGAGTGACAGAGTTGGACGTCATCTGCGTACAGATAACACCGTACCCCGAAACTCCGGATGATCTCTCCCAACGGCTTCATGTAGATGTTAAATAACATGGGGGACAATATTGAGCCCTGCGGGACCCCACAAGACAATGGTTGTGGGGTAGAGCAGTTGTCCCCCAGCAACACCTTCTGAGTACGATCCTCTAGGAAGGACCTGAGCCACTGCAGAACAGTGCCACCAAGGCCCATTCCCGCGAGGCGTCTCAGAAGGATACCGTGGTCGACGGTATCGAAGGCCGCTGAGAGGTCCAGCAGAACTAACAGGGACACACTCCCCCTGTCTAGCTCCCTGCGCAGATCATCCACTAAGGCGACCAAGGCTGTCTCGGTACCATGTCCCGGCCTGAAGCCAGACTGTGCCGGATCTAGATAATCAGTGTCTACCAAGAATACCTGGAGTTGTGAAGGCCACCACACGTTCCAGGACTTTGCCCAAAAAGGGGAGATTGGAAACAGGCCGATAGTTGACGAATTGAGTGGGGTCCAGTGATGGTTTTTTCAACAGCGGTTTTATTACAGCTTGTTTTAAGCTGGCTGGAATTTTGCCTTCCCGAAGGGAGGCATTAACCTCCACCTTCACCCACTCGGCCAATCCCCCTCTGGCCTCCTTTAGAAGCCAGGATGGGCAGGGGTCTAGGATGCATGTGGTAGCTCTCATTCCTCCAAGCACCTTGTCCACATCCTCGGATTGAACCAATTGAAATGAATCCATCAAAATTGGACAAGCAGATGCTCGTGTTACATCCTCTGATACTGCCGTTAATATGGTATCCAGTCCAGAGCGGATCAAAGCGACTTTGTCTGCAAAGAACCGAGCAAATGCTTCACAGCGCGTGTCGAGTTGTCAGGGTTCCCATCCGGAGCGGTGGGATTTAATAGACCTCTGACAACTCGAAACAGCTCAGCCGGACGGTTCTTTGCGGACGCAATATTGGCAGCATATGCATAACATGTGAGGTAAACAGTTGCCTCCAGAATCACTAACTGACCAGATGTGAAAAACAGAGGAAAAATTGGGAAAGCAGATTAGGCTGCCTTAGCTGTTACCCTGGTACGTTGAAAAAGCATAGTTCTGTACATTTCACTACCAAAACGTACATATTTTAGAGCTTTTCATTTGATTCCTCTGCCCAGGATTCAGTTCCCTAGGGATTCAATTCCCTGCAGTGTTCTGTAGCCATGGATAATGATGAAAATGAACAAGTCATTATAAAATGAACATTGCTATGTCAATAGACCAGAAAGTGGTTGTAAAGTCTGTTGCTAAATTTAGGGACCAGACTGATCTAGTTCTGGGCCTAGTACACCTATCACTATCCTTGCCTCTGGATCCAATCAACATATCAATAGGGGTGGGATATGCTTTTTCTATAATCTCTCTCCACATAAGCAGCAGCAAGTTTAAACACATATATAGTGGTCCCTTGGTACCCATGGATACCAAGGACCACCCATGGATACCAAAATCCATGGATGCTCAAGTCCCATGAAATACAATGGTGTAGTAAAATGGTGTCTCTTATATAAAACAGCTGAATCTACGTTTGCTTTTTGCATGTAAAAAACTTATTTTTAAGCTGTGGGTGGTGGGATCTATGGATACAGAGAGTAGACTCTACAAATACATAGTAATCAGTCTGAAAGGGGTTTACTATCTCCAGTCTTCTTTCTGAGTATGTTAAGCATCCCTTTAAGAAAGGATTCTTCTTTTTTCCTGTGTCTTTTGGTTTTGAATGACTTGCCTACAAAGCTACGACTACTTCAGACCTATAGTTTAGAGGCCTTTCCCAGATCAGCCTTAAAGTTTAGGTAAATGAAAGGAACTCTGTGGGAAAAAGAGCTCAGGTCATTACACATTTATGCTTAATAAGTAGAATTCTAATAGGCGGCTTCACTGCTAAGTCAAATGTTTACAGGGGTCTCTTAAGACACTATGCTAAATGATTCTGGCCCAGTTTATCTGACAAATTGTATCACCTGTTATGAACCATCACATAGTCTAAGATAATATGGAGAGGCCCTGCTCTCGATCCCACCGCAAGCGTAATTTGTGGGAACAAGGGACAGGGCCTTCTCAGCAGTGGTCCCCCGTCTGTGAAATTTTCTCCCCAGGGATGTCAGGTTGGCCACCTCCCTCCTGTTGAGTTTCAGAAAGAAACTCAAGACTTGGTTATGGGACCAAGCCTTCAACCATTGAATAGCAGCAAATGAGAAGAAGATTTAAGCAACTGGCGACAATGAATTGACCCAGACCTGGGTTTGGATTTTAATTGGCGTGTTTAATTAATTGCTTTTTAATTAACTGTTTTAATGTTTTAATTGTATTTGTTGAATGTTTATGTGAAAGCACTGATTGTGCTTGCTGTGAGGCCACCCTGAGTCCCCCTTTGGGGATGAGAAGGGCAGGTTATAAATGCAGGAAATAAATAAATAATAAATAAATTGAGAAAGTTATGCTACTTTGTTTTGCAAACAATTCCAAATGAAGAGTTTATTTTTTTAAAAAAAAAAATCAGTTACCATTACTTTACTACAGGAAACTAGTAAATTCATTTTCTATATGCCATAAACAAGCATTAAAATAAAAACATGATACTTTTAGATTGTTCAAAAATAAGTACATTATGCTATAAAGCTAAAACAACTATCAAAAAACCCTGTTTATATTCAAGTATCTAGACCATTTAGTCTGCATTAAGAAGTATGACTCACCTGGGGAAAGATGGATTGCCTTTTGGATATTCTTCAAAGCATTGTTCTTCTCATTTTCAGCTGTGTGACATCCTATAGCCAATTGATTAACTGCGGTATTCAACAAAGCTTTCTAAACACAAGAATGCACAGCAGGTGAGTATTGTTCTTTTTAGCTAAAAAAAAAATCCACCCCAATGCACAATATAAAAAAATCATTTTATGGGAAAAATACTAACCTTTCCATGGTTTAAATCATGAATATGAGCAACAGTTCCTGCCACAGCCCCACCCTGCAAGACAAAATATCGATCATGGTATGGCATACCAGAATATTATAGCTTTCGCAGATCAATAAGGTAGGACAATGCTACTGCCCTTTGGATCAATACATGTGAAAATGTCAAACAGGTTTGCACATTTAAATGTGCTGACATCCCAGAATGATGAAAAATATACTGATCTGGTGTAGCACATTAATTGAAAGGTTTCCACGAGCAGAGTTCTCATAATTGCCTTTTTTGAATTCCTGCCCTAAATCTATAAATAAGATTAAGATTTTGTCTGTAGATGGGCATTTCCACCAAGATTTTCACCAAATTTTATAGGGGATGTTTGAAATGGTCTCATTAAGTATATACACTCTGTGACATACATTGCATTTTCTTCCTGGAGTGCGTTTGCTGCCTGATTAGGAGAGGCTTGCTCACTCAAGGGCAACTTAAGTTGATGTGTTACATGGGAACATGTGGACATTCAAAGATGTAGGCATCTAGCTTCCACAGAATGTGAAACTAAACAGTTAATAATGACAAATAATTCCCACAAATAACTGGATATTACACTTAGCATAAGTCTTTAGTGCCACAAGCTTATTGTTTTGCTGCAACAGACTAACATGGCTACCGCTTTGGAAACCCTTTTATTAACAAGTTTCTCTTTACTAATTATGTAATTGAGGAAATAAGAAAAAATTCCATATTAAGGTTCACCCTGTGCACATTCACCTTTGCATTCTTTGGTGTATACTGAGGTACCAGTCGAGACAGGAGAGACCATAAAGCAGGATTATCTGGGTTACTAAAAGAGAGATGACAATATTGAAATTACTTTTTTCTACATTAACATAAGTCCTTAGCATTGGCTGGAATTATAGTTTGCTTTCTGAACAACTATATTGCACTTTAAAATTTACTCAAATAGCTTTTTTAGGATAGAAAAGGATAAAAAGTATCATGATTTAGGAACGGATATTCAAGTACAAGAATTGCTTTGAAAATTCATCAGATTTGGATAACTTAAATCCAGGTTTGATTGATTTAAACAGATTTCGATTTCCAAATTATACCAACAGATCAAGACTTCAAAAATGGGGCAAACTATACTGAAGATCAAAATGAAAACAGTTACTCAAGAGCAAAAAAACTTTTGCACTATCATTTTAAATTGTAATTATGAAGTATCAGAACAAATGTGATAGGGAGGAATGGCAAAATGAATTTCAAGCTGATTATACTTGTAATCATTTGGAAACATATCATCCTTGCTATATGCATACAAAACAAAATTGTTCTGCAGATAATTCTCTTTTGTATGTTCTGAAACATGGAATACAGTGAACTTCAAGTACAGTAAATAAACGGATACTGGAACGTTGGGCAAATCCTTGCTGACTTTGTACAAAATCTATTCTGTTAAAATAAAAAATAAATAAAAGAGAATGGGACAAAGAAGTCTTGCAGTATCTTTAAGACTTATCTATCTATCTGTCTATCTATCAGCATGAGTATTGGGCATTAAAATTCCAGTTCCTCTGAAGCAGGGAATTCATTTTATTCTCTGAAAGCTCATATTGAAATAAATAACACATTAAAAATGCTCCAAGACTCTTTCTCCTCTGTTTTATTTTTTATAGTCTGAAAACAGAATAATACTATTGCTGAAACCCAACAATTCATTACTTATTTTTAAAAAATGTCCTGAAAGGAATTTTTTCTTAACCCAAATTTGAAGTCTGATGTTACTGAAGTACAATGGGGCCCAAGAGTCTCCATTCAATCCCACTCCATTTTCTCTTTCCCTTTTGTTGTCAAATTTTACTCCAGCCCTTCCCCTAATAATCAATGCGCCAATCTAAAAAGGAAAATTTCAGGTCCTGTTCCTCCAATTTCAACTGGGCATGTTTAAAGGGAAGAAAAATGATTGACCTAAGGCAGTGGTTCTCAGCCTGTGGGTCCCCAGATGCTTTTGGCCTTCAACTCCAAGAAATCCTAACAGCTGGTAAAGTGGCTAGAATTTCTGGGAATTATAGGCCAAAAACATCTGGGAAACCCAGGTTGAGAGCCACTGACCTAAGGGTTTGTTTATTTTGCAGGTGTTTTAGAAGTAAACTTGAGCACTTTTGAGTTGGGTGAGTTTACTTGTTTGAATCAGTAGGTGAAAATGGCTGTCTGCTTATTGACTGGATAAGGAAAAGAAAGACAACTGTAGTCGTTTACTTTGACTACATAGACAAAAACATTAGGGATTATCCACTATGCTTAACTCAGTCATCTTGCTCATAGATAGCTCAGCTAAAGTTATTTTCTTCAGTCCCATCTGCCTTGAAAGGTAAACTTAGTTGGGAAGAAGAATTTGTTGCAAAAACATAGATTACATACCTGTGAATCGTTCTTGAAACTTGTCTTTGAACAGCCTGATTCCTGCCTTGTAATGCATAGACAGCAGATGTCAAAAGGCATCTCATAAAAATATTATCCTTTCTTTCTGCATGCTTTAATAATTCTTTAAGTGCTGCTGTTGCAAGTGTAGCATCCTGCTTTATCAGCCCTAAAGTGCACAGAGCTTGCAGACTTTCTATATTTGGTTTCTGTAATATAGAACTGTAAGATAAAAGATTATTCAGTGCATTATTATCTAAAAGTACAACGTGATGCATTATTTACTTGGAACACCATTAAAAAATCTAAATGCCACCTCCAGTCCATACATTGCTTATGCTTTCGAAGCACTGCAAAGCACTTCAAAACAACAAAATCAAGAAGAAGCAATACTGTCAAAAATGCCTACCTTGCTTTTTTATTCTGGCCAATAGTGCTATAACCCTGTGGTTTGCCAAAACCCTGCAGGTTATAATTGTTAAACACATAAAGTAAAAGGAATACCTTTAGAATCACAATATGCTGTTGCTGTTTGCCTTCACATCATTTCTGACTATAGTAACCCTATCATTGGATTTTCTTGGCAAGATTTCTTCAAGAGGGGGTTTGCCTTTGCCTTCCTCTGAGGCTGTGAGTGTGTGGATTGGCCAAGATCCCCCAATGGTTTTCTGTGTCTGAGTGGGGATTCAGACCTAGGTCTCTCATCTTCTAGTCCAATACTTAAGCCACACCACACTGGCTCTCAAGCGATAGCCACTGTTCCTCAATTTGCAACTATACCTTTACCGTAGGTTGTACAATTTTATATAAATATGTCCTAGAGGTGGCAGATGTATCTCCTCCATTTTGGCAACTTGTTAAGGGGTACCACAGTGAAGAATCTCAAGGGCAGTGTTTGTATGTGTGTGGGAGTGTGTGTCTGCATGCCTTCCAGCTGCCTGTCAACTTATGATGATCATATATATTTCATAGGATTGTTTTAGGTAAGAAATTTTCAGAGTTAGTTTTGTTGGTTCTTTCCTCTAAAACAGGCCCTCTGGGTGTTTTGGACTTCAACTCACACAATTCCTAACAGCTGGTAAGCTGGCCGGGATTTCTGGGAGTTGAAGTATAAAACATACAGAGGGCTGAAGTTTTCCCATGCCTTCTAAAATATAGTTTATGGCACCAAGTATTTGTTGGTGAGCTCACATCCAAGTACTACCCTAACTTTGCTTAGCTTCCAAATTCCAATAGAATCTGGTACCTTTAGGGTATTTAGGCTGACATAATAATAATAATAATAATAATAATAATAATAATAATAATAATAATAATAATGGAAAAAACAAGTATGGGTTGTCGTGGCTGCAATCCCAGATGACAGCAAAATTGATGAGAAGCAACTGGAAAAGCTTACAAGATATGAGGATTTAAACATCGAACTGCAAAAACTCTGACACAAGCTTGTAAAGGTGGCCCCAGTGGTGATCGGCACACTGGGTGCAGTGCCTAAAGACCTTGGCCTGCACTTAAAAACAATTGGCACTGACAAAATTATCATCTGTCAGCTGCAAAAAAGCCACCCTACTCGGATCTGCATGCATTATTCACCAATACATCTCACAGTCTTAGATACTTGGGAAGTGTCCAAGATGTGATTCAATACAAATGCTAGCATAGTGATCTTGTTTTCTGCGTACTAATCTTCTTATGTATCAAATAATAATAACAACAGCAACAACAACAATAATACATAATACAAAATATTTATTCCCTATTAGGTTGTTCCCTTTGCAGATCTATTTATTCCTAGACATTGTACAGATATGTACAAAATATGAATGAAATAAAATTTATGCAAGTGATAAAAATTTAGGAGATTCTGCCACCTGGAAAAAGGTTACAGTGGATCAAAGCCAAAGCCCATACAAAACACTAACAATACTTTCTATAATGGATTGTGTACACTATAAAACACCAATCATAGTTTCCAGTGAAATAAGATTAGGTATAACTACCCCTACAATTAATGTTTTCTTTAATAGTAAAAAAAAAAAAAGGTCAGTATGAAGACACCTTTAACATATTCCTTAACATATTTTGTGGGCAGCTGAAACAAGACATGGCTCTGCAAAACCAAGCATGAAGATCAGCACTAACATAGGGTATTTTTTCCTTATATCCATTTTGTAGAACTGTAGATAGAAGTGACATTCTGTTCTTATCATCATTTGGGGCTCTTAGAGTACATATTTAAACCAATGTTCTTCTCAGTCTTGAAAGAAACAAAATGAACAGCTAATATTTCGTAGGATGATCTCATCATCCCAAATGACAATCAAAACTGAAATGCTGTTGCCATGACTAAAACTATCTTGACAAAAAAGAGGTAATCTCCATAATAGTAACAGGCAAGCATGGCAACATAAGGAATAACTATGACTTCTCCCAACTGTCAATCTAAGTTTTGTGGCTCATGCACAGCTTTGAATTTTTAAAAAAATATTATTTGTGCTTTTTGCTTTTTTTGTAACTCTGATTTGCCTGCAGTCTTGATGGCACTGGCGCTCTCAATCTGGGCTTGCTATGGGAAGGAATTATTACAACAGGAAAACTGTGTCACTGTTTTAAATAAATCAAATAAATAAATAGTTTTAAATAAATACCCATTACTCACCATTTAAATAAGAGAGTCTTTGCATCATCTACTTGATTCTGCTTGTATTTCATGATTGCCAGGGCTGTGAGGATATATGCTTTGTCTTGCTCACATTCAACCATGGAAATTGCTTTTTCATAAGCTAGCAAGGAAAACATAGAAATTTAAAGGAAGAGAAATGTGCTCTGGGCATAGGTATAAAAAAGTTACCTCCATTTTTAAGCTTATAAACCAGGGGAATAGAAGTAGTCTTTTCAGTGTATTTTTCCTACTATCTGTGACCATCCAGGAAATAAGATCTCTTGGCCTCTCTTTATCCTGAACAGATAATTCTATCCATTTCTTTTCTCTTTGTTTTCTTAATCTATCCATTTTTGCCCTGCAGCTAAACAATTTAATCTGTTTTCTTGGATGCAAAGGAGAGCATTATGTGCAACTCTGGGGGAGTATGGAATGTTTAAATGTATCAAATTTCATTTTATGTAACACATGAGAGAGCAGGATACGCTCTCTATTTCTATAAAGAAAGATAAAGAAAAAGATCAAGATAAAAAAAAATTAGATTTAGACTGCATTTCCATGATGTGAAAAAAGCCCAAGGGTAACAAAATATACCATATATACTTAAATATAAGCCAACTCGCATATAAGCTGAAGCACCTAATTTTATCACAAAAAACTGGGAAAACGGATTAACCCGTGTATAAGCCAAGGGTGGGAAATGCAGCAGCTATTGGTAAATTTCAAAATAAAAACAGATACCAATAAAATTACATTAACTGAGGCATCAGTGGGTTACATGTTTTTGAATATTTACATAAAACTATAATTTAAGATAAGACTGTCCAGCTAACATTAAACCATTATTCTAACCTTTAGTGTAAATGTGCTTACCTAACCTTTCAATAATAATAGAGTAACAAAATAAATGTAATAAAAATAAAAATAATAGAGTAAAATAATGGAAATATAATAACAGTAATAAGAGTAAAATAATAAATATAATAATAACAGAGTAAAATAATAAATGTACTAATAATAAAAACAAAGTAAAATAATACATATAATAATAAAATAATATAAATATAATCATAATAAATAGAGTAAAATAATGAATGTAATAAAAATTATAACAACAGAGTAAAATAATAAATAACCTTGACTTGAGTATAAGCTGAGGGGGGATGTTTTCAGCCTAAAAAAGGGCTGAAAATTTTGGCTTATACTTGAATATATTCAGTAACTTGTAGAATATTTTCCATCAATAATTTCACCTTCTTTTTAAATAACTGACAGAACCACAAGTGTGAAGAACATTGTCTGGAAATAGACATTCACCTTTGGCAAATAATATTGTAGTCTTAATGTGCTTCAAATTCATAATAATCCTTTAGAAGAGATGCTGTGTGCCTGAAACATTTACCTTTCTGACTTTCTTGGAAGTCTCCCTTCTTGAAGTAAGCCAAGGCAATTCCCAGAATATCATCGAATTCTGAGAGATCAGTTGATAAGTAAGCCTGAATTGCATCATCATAATGACCAAGAACACTTTCAGAAAAGAAACAAGACAAAACCCTTTCAGAACATATAAACAAAGCAAACCCCTTTCAGGAACTTTGAATGAACTTTTCAAATCAATGAGTGAAACCTATTTTATGTTCACTATCTTTGTGCTTATGCAAAGGTCTTCTCCTGAATATACCCTATGATACTCATAATTCAATCTAGAAATTTTAGTTTAAAAATCAACCCAAGAAATCTTGATCAACATATCTATGGATCAGCTTAAGTACTGTACCTAAACTGCCCTATGGGGAGAGAGGGCAGTCTACAAATAAATTATTATTATTTTTAAAAAGAACCACTGCTTTGCTGATCTGAGCGGTGAAAGGTGAGAGGTTAGTTAATTACGGAAGAAATTAAAAGATATAGTGATACTTTATACCAGGGGTCCTCAAACTAAGGCCCGGGGGCCGGATTTACCTGGCCCCCGCTCAGGGTCAACCTAAGTCTGAAACTACTTGAAAGCACGTAACAACAACAACAACAACAACAACAACAATCTTATCTCATGAGCCAAAAGTAGGCCCACATTTCCCATTGAAATACTAATAAGTTTATTATTTATTTATTTATTTATTATTTACAGTATTTATATTCCATCCTTCTCACCCCGCAGGGGACTCAGGGCGGATTACAATGTACGTATACATGGCAAACATTCAATGTCATAGAGACATAACATATATAGACAGACACTCATAGGCTATTTAACATTCCAGATTCTGGCCACCAGGGGAGCTGTCGCTTCACCATTCGTTTGTGACACTGATGAAGTACTTCCTCATTCTTTGCATACTTCCTGGAGATTTTTATGGCCTCGTAAATCAGTTAAATTATATTTCTTAAAATTATTATTCATTTTAATTATTGTATTGTTTTTAAGTGTTTTTGCACTACAAATAAGATATGTGCAGTGTGCCTAGGAATTAATTCATGGTTTTTTTCAAATTATAATCCGGCCCTCCAACAGTTTGAGGGACTGTGACCTGGCTTTATACCCTCTTTTCTCCTTTCTGTGGCACCACTTTTGGCCTTTTTGAATGGCTCGGAAAGAAATACTAGTGGCAGACAGGAGTGGCTGGCTTTCAAACATTGGTGATTTACCCTCAAATTATCCACAGGTTGGATCAAAATTCCTAGTTTTGGCTCCCAAATCTGCCCTCGACTTATACATCAAGTTAATTTAAACATGCATACATAGGGTAGTTCTGCTTATCTGAAATTCCTTTCCCCCAAATTCTTTATATATATATATATATATAAAAAAATTGGGAAGATTTGGGATTATGGTTAAAGTTGATAAACCTAAATGCTGATGCTCTGTATGCTGAAACCAAGGAAAAAGAGACCAATTCCCTGTTGATTATGTTTTTAAAATGCATCACTTATAACAAGACTGACCACAGCAGCTATGACAACTATTACTGCTTTTTTTCTCATGCAAAACATCTCTAGAACCAAGTCAAGAGATATATCATTTTATTTACTACCTTTACATGCCACTTTTCTACCTAGTACTACAAAGCAAGGCATATCATTTTGCTCCCATTGTTTGTCAAATAGGTGAGAATGAGAGGTGAGATGATCCAAGGTCTCCCAGTGAGCCTTATGGATAACAGTGGATTTGAACCTCGATCGTCCTGTTTAGTTGTAGTTCAGCACTCTAACCATTATATCACACTGGGCCTGTGCTAAAATTATGTCTTATAGCAGTGTCTCCCAACCTTTGGTCCTCCAGGTGTCTTGGACTTCAACTTTCAGAAACCCCAGCCAGTTTACTAGCTGTTAGGAATTATGGGAGCGGAAGTCCAAAATACCTGGAGGACCAAAGGTTTGGAACTGCTGTCTTAACCACTATGAAAACGTTGTAAGAAATTATGTTGCTATGTACAATAAATCAAAGGACAGACTTGTTAATGCTTTTTCAGAATTAAAAACTAAGCAGCCTTACCACAGTGATCTGCCATAATTTCTCATGGCTATGTTGTATTTCTCTTTATCTTCACAATTTTTCAACAACTGAACTGCTCTGAGAAGGAGGGAAAAATAATTCTAGTCATTTTCATAGCAAGAGCTAACCTGCAAAATATATTGAGCTAGAAGTTTTGCTATTATTTCACCGGGACCATTTTATTCATACTTTAGAGTCAATTTCCAGGTGGATCGGTCCTATAATATGACAAAAACTCTTTCTCAATCAGCAGAACTAGAGTCTTTACCCAAAGTAATTTAGTGTTTGAACGTCGCATTTGCCGTATACATGCATGGAATTGAATCCACAACGTTCTGAATTTTTTTCCTACTATTCTAACATTATGACCTTCTTTGAGCTTTCCAGGGAGCGCAGGATACATATTTAAAGAAATCAAAACTATGAAGAAAAACATTGTTAGCCTAAGCAAATGATTTTCTCCAAACTGAGGCAAAATTATACTCATACCACATTGGTTCTTCACTCTCTCAAGTTGGATATTTCAACACCTAAATTTCATTCCATAATATTTCATAGTAGAATCAGACAGACAGACAAGATTCTATATTGTTTTTGTGTTACTGCTAAAACAGAGGATAGTTTTGTCAGGATGAATAGTGGACATAGACCATTTAAGATTTTTTTTAAAAAAATAAATACTGTTGAATAAAATCTTACCTTTGGTAAGCATCTCCTGCCTGTTTTTTTAGTTGGAGATATTCATTTAAATAGCCAAGCATAGTAAATGCACATGCATCATTTTGGATTCTTTCTATAAAAGGGACAATAAATAATTTATTTGTTTTGCTTTTTCTGCCAAACATTTTCAAAACAATGCAGCCAAAGGGGAAAGGGACAGACAAGGGGAACTTTGGCTCAACTATGCCCTCTGATCTCTTGCACAATATTAAGTGTTGGAATTCAACCCCACACTGTTCAAGTCTCAAGTCCTCAAAGAGGAGCAGTTAGGTAGTTTTGACTAAGGTTTTCCCTTCCCCCATGTCTCCTGTATGACAGTTGAGAATGTATCTTTTTATTCTCTCTTCTGTTTCTGCTCTCATTCTGATTGGTTGTTTAAAATGGATACATTTCTACTGCAAGCCTTTTTGAATCTGACTCTGCCTTCTTACACTTTACTATGGAGGGTATGTGCTGTATGCTTTGAGATCTCTCTCTGCTTGTGTGTCAAGATAGATGTAGTGATTGAATTTTCCCCTCCTTTGAAAACTTAGAAGAGATGGGTGTTAGAGTAGCTCAGACTCAGTTCTTGATTATTAAGAAATGCAGTTATTGTTTATTATTGTAAATAAACCTTTTGTGATTTTTAAAATTGGACTCTGCATGTTTGCCTCATAAGCTCTGAATTATTTACAGCCACTCGCTAATGAGTCGATGCTCAACTTTTGTATCCTGTTTGTTTTTGGATGCTCTGGTTGCTTTTAGGGTAGTATTCCGTAACAATAAGGAGGTACAGATAAAGCTGGCCAAGGATCAGGGAAGATATAGCCTTCTATAAATGTCTGTTGGCTCTTGTATCCCATGTGACAATGAGAAGAGTGGGAGGAAGCCAGGAGAGGAGCAGAGTGACTATTGCCTTCTACCCTCCTCTCTAGCTTTCCTCAAACACAACATCAGGAGAACAGGAAGAAGTTGGGCAAGGTCATCTGTGTTCTCACAGCTGGTTTATTATGACTCAGACACTGTTATTTAAAAGTGGAAGTTACCTGTGTATTTGGTCAGAGCAATTTGGGCTGCTGGGATGGCATTCATCTGAAGAATATTGTATCTATACAATTCAGTGTTTCTGTTGCCTTTTTCTTGTAGGGTTGAACACACCCAATGGGCATAGCCTTTTGCTCCCTCAGTCTGAGTGAAGAAAAATGATTGTTGTTATATTTATTTTCATTCACTTTCCCCCTAGAACTGGGACAAGCTTAGTAAAAAACAAACATAGAATCAATAACTGTCCTAGTAGGAAATCTTAAGTGTTTTATAGCTGCTTAACCCCAAAACTATCATAGCAACACATAATTCAGCAGAAAAGGTACTAATACTTGGTAAACTAGAACACAGTAGGAAAAGAGAATGACTGAATTACAGGTGGATAGACTCAATTAAAGAAACTGTGGCCTTAACTTCAGAAGACACAGGCAGAGACGCTAATAACAGGGTGACCTGAAGCTCTATCATTCATAAAGTAACCATAAATCAAAATTGACTTGATGGCAAATAACAACAGCAAATATATAACCCCATCAAATGTTGGCAAAATACACAATTTTTGCTATTCTTAACCAAACACTGGGAACTTGACTGGTTGCAGCAAACCCCTAAACATACTGTTTTAAATAAAATATACAGTTGCATTTCAAATATCCATATGATAGAAACTCAGTGGAAACACTGGAAATTGTAATGATATTTATTTGGGAAGCACTTAATGTCTGGTTTACTGGTTTGCAACCTGCAGTAATGACAAGGGCTTACATGCATGCTGAGTTCAGTAGTGTGCCTGAAGAGATCCATAGTTTCATAGCTACCCACAGTCTCTGCAATGAGAGCCTAGCAAAAGAGAAAAAAATGAAAACAGTGTTTCTTGAGTTGATATAACACAGGCAATCCATTTATGTCGCTTGAAGTTTCAAAGTACAGACATGGCAAAACTTGATTACCATGTACCTTGGTCCCCACTCTCCCTCGCCTTTCTTTTGTCGGCAGAACTAGAAAATGTAGAATACCTGTAAGGTAAAGGTAAAGGTAGTCCCCTGACATTAAGTCCAGTCATGTCTGACTCTGGGGTGTGGTGCTCATCTCCATTTCTAAGCCGAAGAGCCAGCGTTGCCCGTAGACACCTCCAAGGTCATGTGACCGGCATGACTGCATGGAGCGCCGTTACCTTCCCGCCGGAGCGGTACCTATTGATCTACTCACATTTGCATGTTTTGTAGCGACTCCTAAACTATTTGGATTTCTACCAACCCAAACTTGAAATCAGCAAAGAAACAATTTGTGTTATGGCTGATTCTTCTGAATGGCAACCTTAGATTTACTATGATAAGATGCTTTCCTTGTGCTATGAAAGTGCAGAGGGAATTTCCTTTGCCCTGGATTCTTGGATGAAAGACATGTAACCATGGATAGACATGGATGGGTTAAGTTGAGATATTTTAATGACACAGTATAGAACTATAGACTGCTGCAATAACAGTAAGAGGAACCTCTACATTAGAGTTCTTATTTAGCCTGGGCCTATGTTTTAAGGCATTTGTAGGTTATCAATAATTTTCAGTATAGGCTGGACAATTGTGTAATTCAGAGGCTATAATAACCAAATCCCCAAAACTGTTGGCATATATCACACTTCTCAAATGATTTTGAGAAGTGGTGGGGTAGTCCATGCCTTGGTCACCTCTAGATTGGACTACTGCAATGCGCTCTACGTAGGGCTGCCCTTGAAAACGGCTTGGAAATTCCAACTGGTCCAACGGGCAGCAGCCAGAATGTTAACCGGGGCTCATTACAGAGAGAGGTCAACCCTCCTGTTCAAGGAGCTCCACTGGCTGCCGTTTATCTTCCGAGCCCAATTCAAGGTGCAGGTGCTTACCTACAAAGCCCTGAACGGTTTGGGACCACCCTACCTACGTGACCGCATCTCCGTCTAGGAACCCACACGCTCACTCCGGTCATCTGGAGAGGCCCTGCTCGTGATCCCGCCCACGTCGCAGGCGCGCTTGGTGGGAACCTGAGACAGGGCCTTTTCTGTGGTGGCCCCCCGACTCTGGAACGCCCTCCCAAAAGACCTTAGACAGGCCCCTTTGCTGGCAGTCTTCAGAAAGAACTTGAAGACCTGGCTGTTCCGATGTGCCTTTTCAGATTAGGAACCCCCAATACCAAGTCCTAGAAGCACTTTAATAGAACTAAGATCACTGCACACCGCACACCGCACTTACTTTATAATCCTACATACCTCCTGCCACATCAGCACTTTTAATCTTGTACCCATTTTCTGGCCTGGCCCAGTTTTATATTGTCTTGATGTTTTGATGTATTGTTATTGCTGTTGTTTATTTCTGCTTAACTGTTTTAATTTGCTCTAGGTATTGTATTGTTGTATTGTGTTTTGAGGCTTTGGCCTATGTAAGCCGCATCGAGTCCTGTGGGAGATGCTAGCGGAGTACAAATAAAGTTATAATAATAATAATAATAATAATAATAATTCTCCTGCGTTATAATGCCTTACCTGCCCAATCCAACACGTTAGGTAGGAGGGTTCCAGAGACTGGGCTACTTTGAAGGCTTCATGTGCTTGCTAGATGAATATATAAAATTGAAACAAAAATGTTAAATTGGATCATGGTGGCTAAGAATGTACCTTGCCCCCCTTTCTCTCAGGCATGGAAAAGAGTAATATAAGCCTTCTAAACTTCTATGGGAGCTCTGCTGGCACCATTAAATAAAAGTTCGAGATTCAAAGTTTCACCTGTAATAAATGCAGTATATAGGTAAGACTTTCCCCACCCCTGAATATGTAACACAACTAATAGGAGCCTAAAAGATAAGCTCAGAACTACCACTGCCCCATCCTCCTGAAATAGCTATGTTTCCGGCGCCTAAGGATTGCAACGTAAGCCTTTTTAATACTTTTGAATAAATACCTTGGAAAAGGGAAAGAGCACAAAACATTCCCAAGGGACCGAAGGCCATTTAACCTTGACTTTTTACCGCCACCATTATTATCACAATAAGAACTACGAAATATGTGCAATGCTTTTTGGAATGGCCCTGGCTTACGATTGTGGATGGCGTGATTTTAATAGGGATGATAATGTTTATATGTTTTAATGTGCATTTTTAACTCTATTTTTTAAAATTTTAACTTAAGTGTATTTAATTCTGTTGTCTAAAGGCATCAAATAGCTGCCATATGTAAAGCTGACTTTAGTCTCCATTGGGGTAGAGAAAGGCAGACTATAGAGTAAATAAGTAAATAAATTTGCTCAGTAATGAACAGTCATCCCTCCACATTTGCACTTTTGAATTTTGTGGATTTGATTATTTACAGATGTGATTAACATGTTCTCACTAGGAATCTGTAGATCCTCCAGAGTGGCTCTATGGTCAACTTCCACCAGTTATGTTGGAAGACTGAGATTTCCAGAGAAAACACCTTTCTTGTGCATCTCTAGGCCCTCCAATGCTATGATCAGCTTCCAGCAGAAATTGACCATAGAGTTGTGTTGGAAGATCTAGAAATCCTTAAAGAGGCATTCTCTCAGATTAAAAGATTGCAATTCCTTTATTCATGTCTGTTTCATTTTCACTGGTCCTGTTCCTCTAACCTCAGCAAATGTGGAGAGCTGATTGTAGTTTCTTTTCAGAGGTAGATTCTGTTTCCTTCATATACCCACTATTGTTAATGTCACAATTCATTTCTCAACCTATACTCGGCTTTTAAAACAAGGAATCCTTCAAGAATCCATATTTCAAGCATCCATACTCCAATTGTGTCAATTTTAAACTATTTTCAAAAGGGAAGCTGCTGTGACTTCTTCAAAAAACAGTGTGAGGAGTGTCATACAGGAGTGTCAATGATCGCAAACACTGTCATTGGTTTTGCTCACCCCCTCCCCGCAATCTTGAACAAATACATCCTGACCAACAAGTCAGAAAACATGAACTGGGTATCTGAATGGTCTGATACGTCACTCAAAAGAGAAGGTTACATTTCCTTTTTTTTTCTTTTCTAAAACTGCCGCTTCACCTAACTGTTTAAATTTCAAATGCACATTTGACTGAGTGCTTCATCACATGAGAACACTCACCTCTATGTTTCCACTGGTTAAATACAAGACTCCCAAATTGGTCCAGGCCACAACATTCTAGACAAAAACAAAGATATTAAAGATATTAAACCAAAATATTCTTGAAGTCCCCCTTCAGAACAAATGCATTATCTAGAGAACTTACAATTTGGTCAGCTTGGATAGATTTAATAAATGCATGTTGAGCAAGGGCATAGTTTCCAACACCTGAAAGATACAAATACATTGAGTGCAATATCTAGGAAACTCTGAACAATTTAACAGAGAGGCAATAATTGAAAAAAAAATCTTTTGAAAAGTACCTTTGGAACTAGCCACCACTCCAAGAGCATTCCAGTAAAGATGGTTTTTGCTGTCTATTCTGACAGCTTTTTTAAGACACTGGAAAAGATTGAGAGATATGTACAGTAATTCCATAAGTTCTAAAAAATATATACAATACATTTTCTGTATATTATCACATAAAGTGTTTTGTGTTGTGAGTCAGCGTCTGTCTCCTGTACCTACTACTAGTAGTAGAAGGAAACGTGACCGTTTCGGGACCGTTATCCACTGCCTTTGATTCCTGAGTTATTGTCGCGCGTTCAAGGCGCTTCTGTTTTTTCTAAACTTGATCTAAGGGGAGCCTATAATTTGCTTAGAATCAAGGAAGGCGATGAATGGAAGACCGCTTTCAATACGTATTTAGGAGCCTACGAATATTTAATCATGCCTTTTGGGTTGTGTAATTCGCCTTCTGTGTTTCAGAGACTAATGAACGATGTGTTTAGAGACTTATTAGACAAATTTATGGTCTGCTATCTCGATGACATCCTCATATACTCGAAAGATCTTCAGCAGCATCAACAACATGTGAAGACGGTGCTCCAGAGACTGCAAAAGCATGGTTTGTTTGCTAAGGCTTCTAAATGTGTGTTCCACGTCCCTGAGGTGGAGTTCCTGGGGCACATAGTCTCTGGGCAGGCTGTGAAAATGGACCCGCATAAGGTGGATGCTGTCCAGTCCTGGAAGGAACTCACCTCGAAAAAAGATGTGCAGCGTTTCCTGGGCTTTGCTAATTATTATCGAGAATTTATTCCCCATTATGCAGAAATCACGGTGCCGCTGACGCGCCTCCTGAAGAAGGACCAACCCTTTGCATGGACTAAGGAGGTTCAGAAGGCATTTGAAACTATCAAATGCAGTTTTGCTGATGGGAGAGTCCTGTGTCAACCAGATGTGGATCGCCCATTCGTGGTCGAAGCTGATGCCTCCAATTACGCGCTGGGAGCTGTTTTGTCCCAATTGGATTCGGCTGGTACCTTACGTCCTTGTGGCTTCTACTCACGCCAATTGACTCCTTGTGAGCAGAACTATACTATATGGGAGAAGGAATTATTGGCGATCAAAGTTGCCTTTGAAGTCTGGAGGCACTGGTTAGAAGGTGCCAGGCACCAGGTGGTGGTGCGATCCGATCATCGCAACTTAGAACATTTGTTAACCGCTCGCAAATTGAATCAGAGACAGATTCGTTGGGCTATTTTCTTTAGTCGTTTTGATTTTCATGTTGAGTTCATAGAGGGGAAAAAGAACCTGAGAGCGGATGCATTGTCCAGAAAGTCTGAGTACAAGACTAATGTGGAACCCATCATGCAGACTGTGTTACCTACTGCAGCTCTGAACTTAATGGAGGGTGCGGGTGATCTTTGCGATCAGGTCAAAGCAGCACAAGCTGAGGACATTTGGACTCAGGAACAATTAACCCTGTTAGCTAGTGGCCAGAAGACTGTACTTGCTAATCTTCGTAATGAGGGTGGGATCCTGATGCGTAGAGAGCAGCTGTACGTTCCTGCAGGTAGCTTGCGCCTTGAGATTCTTAGATCCCACCATGATGAACCAGCTGCGGGTCACTTTGGGAGGTTTAAAACAGTGCAATTGATAACTAGAAACTTTTGGTGGCCAAAGATGAGGCAGGACATTTTGAGGTACTGTGACAGCTGTGCTGTGTGTCAACAATGTAAGCACGCTCCTGGGAGGCCAAGTGGGCTGTTATCTCCTTTGCCAGTACCTGAAAGACCTTGGCAAGTGATATCCATGGACTTCATCACTGAATTGCCCAGGGCACAGGGATATGCTTGTATATGGGTGATAGTGGATCTGTTCTCCAAGATGGCTCACTTTGTACCGTGTGCGAAGGTTCCTACGGCACCTGGGTTGGCCAAGCTGTTTATGAAACATGTGTTTAAGTTACATGGGGCTCCGGACACTATAATTTCAGATCGTGCCCCTCAATTTGTGTCTAGGTTCTGGAGGCAATTTCAAGCCCAGATGGGAACAAAGTTAAATATCTCCTCAGCCTTTCACCCACAAACTGATGGCCAGACGGAACGCGTGAATGGGCTTTTAGAACAGTACTTGCGCTGCTTTTGTTTACAGCAAGCTGGGGACTGGGTGCAGTGGCTTCCCGTGGCTGAATTTGCATATAACAATGCTACCCATGCTGTCAGTCGCTACTCCCCGTTTGAACTGGTTTATGGGATGCAGCTTAGATGGGGGTCGGCTCCGGCGCATAATATCATTTCTACGGACCCTGTGTATCGTTCTAATGAATTTCTTGCTTTACATGATGTTGCCAGACGTATCCTTTTGGAAGCTAAGGATGCTCAGAAGGAGCAGGCCGATAAACATCGGCAGGAGGGGGCTGAGCTCAAGGAAGGAGATTTGGTTTGGCTCTCTTCCAAGCATTTGAAGCCGTCTGGGGGCAAGTTTGGGCCTCGTTATGTTGGTCCCTATCGTATTGTTAAGCAAATCTCGCCTGTAGCGTTTCGTTTGCGTTTACCCCCATCCCTGAAAGTTCATCCTGTGTTTCATCGCTCTATGCTCAAGTTAGCCACCTCTGAGTCTCGGCCTCAAGTGACTGAGAGTATATCGCGCCCTGTGGCTCCGCCTGCGGAGGGGGGGCCTTGGAGGGGGGGATAGTGTTGTGAGTCAGCGTCTGTCTCATGTACCTACTACTAGTAGTAGAAGGAAACGTGGTTTAGAAGATGAAGAAGCTCAGCAACAGCTGAAACGTATTAGAGACTTGTTCTTAGAGACTACGGATGAGGAAGATTTTGAGGGTTTTACTCGCGAGGAAATGGAGCTGGAAGATTACCGCGGTGTAAAGCGAGTAGCAAGCAGCTCGGATAGTGATGTGGGATCTGTTGTTAAACGCCTTAGAGATGTAGCTGATTGTGAGGAGTTTGACAGCGAAGAGGAAGAGCTGGATTGGACTAAAGTTCAGGAAGTATTAGATGTGGTTAATGCTCCCACGTCTAGCGATGAATTCCAGGGTTTTAATGACACTTGGGTTTCAGATAATACTTTGCAGGATGCAGCCCGAAGCACAGACTGGCAGCAATGGCGAAGTCGGGATTCACCTGTGGAGGCAGATGCACCTGAAAGTAATTCCAGTGACTCGGATGAGATTTAAGGTGCAGAATGCAGCCCGAAGCACAGACTGGCAGCAATGGCGAAGTCGGGATTCACCTGTGGAGGCAGACGCACCTGAAAGTAACTCCAGCGACTCGGATGAGATTTAAGGAGCAGTTTGGGAACAAACTAATCGCAGAGTTCAAAGTGTCGCGTTACCGTGTGCCTTGTGTTTAACTTCTGCCCTGAGCTCTTGTTTGCAGCTTCGTGGACTCCTGATCGTGTGAACAATCTTGCCGGACCTGGACTTGTGAGTCTTCTATGCCTTGACCCTCGGACTGCCTGACTACGCCTCTGCTAATCCCCTGGTGACTACGTTGGACCGCTCTTCATGCGGATTGCTGTTTGCTGTTTTGTTTGGCTTTGAAATGAACTGAGTTTTTACTGCTGAATTGAAGCTGTTTTGCCTGCGTTTGGACTTGCTTTCCTTTTGCCAGCGAGGACTGACTGGGACTTGGTTTGTTTACATTCTTGCTGACCGCAAGCCTTTTGTGTTTATAGCTCTGACTTTAAGAGCCTCCTTTTGTTGTGCTAATAGACATTAAAGACCTTTGTTTAACTCCTTCACTGCCGTTTTGCTTGCTGGTCCGTCTGGGTCTTGACAGTTTTGTATTGGTTAAGGTTTAGAAATGATATCAGAAGAATGTCTATAGCTAGAAACTGCATCAAACAGAACAATCAGGAACTGATTTTTTAAATTACCTGTACAGACTTCTCTAACAGTTCACTGATCTCATTTTTGCTGCCGCCAACTGCTGAAAGGTGATGCGCCTGATGATAGTAGTTAATTCCAAGATCACACCATGTATTTGGGGAGGACATCAATTTTAATCCTCTTCCATAACATCTACAGAAAAATGCATCACAAAATGAAGAGGGCACATTAGTTTAAGGATGTTGTTATAGGCTATTGAGTTTATACACCTGCCATTCTAAAGGCAAATTCTTCCAAGATGCTACATGAGAGAGAGAGGCTGTTCCCCAACTTCCATAATTAAGAGATGGGGTGGAGGCAGTGTAGTCCAAAAGGTGCTTGTGGCCCGCAACCATTTTGTGCATCTGTCCTTCCATTCCATTCAAAAACCATAAATGCCCTCAATTTCTTTTTTAAAAAAGGGGGGGATTACTCATAAAACTCTCAAAATCACAGAGTAGGGTTAAGAATGAAACTCTCAAAATAAACATCTAAAATGAATATTTGTACACACATAGTCAAATTCCATGCAACAAAACTGAAAGATCAGTGAAAAGTGTTTAAGTACAAAACAGAAATAGAGATCAGGTCACATCTAGATTGTATTTTTGGCCAAAACTGCACTACTCTAACCCACCAAGGGAGTTGGCGTGCAGTTGTCCATTTCTACTTAAGAGGATTGGTGCAGAGAATAAGGACTCCAGGGCCTTCATCTGAGCCAACTCTTCTGCTAAAAAAATATGAAACCTCAGAATTAGAATCAAAGAATCATAGAGTTGAAAGAGACCTCGTGGGCATTCCAGTCCAACCCCCTGCCAAGAAGCAGGAACATCGCATTCCAAGCACCCCAACAGATGGCCATCCAACCTCTGCTTAAAAGCCTCCAAAGAAGGAGCCTCCACCACTAATTCTAGGATATATAGACAAAATAGCCAAAATGTAATGTGTGAGATGGCGGGAGAAGCTACCAGCACTAACTTTTTTTTTCAACTGGTTCTTCTTCCCCCCTCAGTCTCTTGGGATTCTTACAGTTGTCCTTTAAACTAAAACTTTGCTTAGTCAGACAGCTGGGCAGTTGTGTTAGCTATTCTTCTAATCCTTGGCTTCTAGGTTGCTAGCAGTCATTCTACTCTTCAGTGTGAATCATGGCAGCTGTGAGACATATAAACTGATATAGGAACTGCAAAGGCAGATTCCAAAGATGCCGTAGATGTTCTCAAGAGTTGCCAAAAACAATATTACAGTCTTATGAAGGGCCATGAGAAGTGCTGCTTGAAAAAAAAACTACTTGAATTTGCCCGAACATAGCCMCCCCCCCCCCCGCCTCTCTCCACTCTCTTGTGAACCTCCCCTCCTCATGTCAATAACACACTGTTAAGGAAGATAGTCAGCCAACCTTGGAAATCTGCAAAATACTGCATTATATATAGATATGCTCTGCAATACCTTCCTCCCAAACTGAGCAGGTCACTTTTCTTCAGCAAACATTTGTCCTTGTCCTGACCAATAAGGAATCCTAAAATTTTCACATTCACTTTGGAAGGTGTAATAACACAAACACAAGTACACGCATCTCCAAGCAATTTCCAAAGGCAAGATGCTTCTGGGCGATGCTTTGCAGCTCTAAAAGAAAAAGAAGATTCAGACTGGTGATTCTCTAAATAGAAGTTCCTTTTCCACTGGAGGAAGTGGAGGCAGGTATTTTTATCAGTTCCGTCGCTGTCAACTCATACGCTACTCTGAAAGGTCCTCTCTTAGCCCTCCAGAGGAAGTTTTTAAGAAGAGGGAGCTAAAAGGGGGGATATCTCTTCACAGTCATAAACACACATAAAGTTTCAACTCATGAATAAAAAGCTGTATTACTCCATTTTATAACTTTTCTATAAAATCAACAGGAATTCACAATACCATGTGGAGACAAAACTGTTCTCAATGAATTTTAGCACATAGTCAATTATTCCTGGATTTTCCTGCCACCCATTTTTCTAATCCCCCAAACTAAACTCATACTATCTAATATTATCAGCTTTATTGTACACTTCGTGTAAGCTTCTTCTCAGATTAGCAAAACATTGGGGATTTAATCTTATTCTAACATTGAAACAAATGGGAAATAGATAGGACATATAGTTTGTATCATCTGCAAGGACTAACTACTTAAAATTATATATTTTTTGCTTAGAAGTCAATTATATGCACAGAAGTAAGGCAGTATTTTAAATATTTATAAGACCCTAAGATGACAGTGGGAAAATATACATACGTATGAGAGAATACCAACCTTGCTAAAAATCCAAGGGATTGCTCGATATAGTCCAGAGCTTTTCCATCCAAGTAGTCAGCAAGAGCAGTCTTTGCCATCATGAAATAGCATTCTCCCAAACCTGGGAAGAAAATAATGAACATGTGATAAGACTGCAATAAACACATAGTTTCCAATTTTTTATTGTTCATAAAACTTAAGTGTTTGTATTTAAACACTTCAGCTTTATGTACAATGAAAAAAAAATGGAAACTATGTGTTTGCTACTGTGCAAATTTAGCATAAACTAAATTTAGTATAGTGCTTTCATGCACATCAGCAGAAATACAGCAATAAATTAGCATGGAAATGGGGTGATGGTAATACTGAGATTTAGGTATTACATATACTGTATGTACACATTACTTCCAAATAATTGCATATAACATACAGAGAGTTTTAAAAAAGCAAATTCATGATCCCTAGTCATAACTAAGATACTAAATCTAACAAAAATGAATGAATACCTTTCAATGCAGGAACGTAATCTTTTGATTTCTTCAAGATATGCTGATATTCTGCAATAGCCTCTTTATATTTTCCTAGCATCTGTTCAATTGCTGCAGCCTTATAAATACTATATATAGATTTGGGGTTAAGCTCTCTGGCCTTTCGGAAAGACTTTAGGGCTGTTGTGAAGCCACCTCTGCTCAAATATGCCTCTCCAAGAGATTCCCAACAGTTGGCGTCCTTTGGATCTGCTCGTAGAGCTGCCTGCAAACTGGATACATAGGGAAAACACTGTGAATTTATTTTATTAGGGCGTGTACAACAGCACCCTATAAGCTTAATTATAACAGTCAGAAAATGCTGAACTACCAAATGTTTCATCTGTATGATCAGCAGTAGCTTCAGCTTGAATCCTGCACTCTGTGTTCAGAGACAAGAGAGAGGCTCCTTGGGGGCTCTACATCAATGTTGCACAAAGCATAGTTCCCAAATTTTCCTATTAATGAATATGCTCAGTGGAAGCAATACAGCAGTCCCATAATACCTGATGAACCCACTGTGAAGATCGGTATTTCATTACTCTTTGTGTAGCACCCAAAATTCTCCTCCAAACTTATTGCAAAATCCTGAAGCTGCTTCTCATGGACACTCCATGCTTCGAGACAAGCAGGCAGGATCAGAGAAATGTCTGACACCCTCTTCCCTCACAATGATTACAGAAGTATTGAAATTCAGACAACCCCGAAGGATCAGAGGAGAAGTCATCATTCAGCACATGATTATAGGCAAGACCTTCCCCAAACCAGCCTTCTTGCCATGAAGCATGAAATAACCATTTGAAGCAGCTACAGGGCTCTGTAGTAAGTTGGCAGTGGTAGCAGATGGTTGAGGTATGCACGCATCATATTTACAGTATGCTGAGAAAATGCTCAGATGTTCTGCATAAAAGGATGACACATTTTTATGCAAATTACTGCAAATTAGAATCAAGCAGTAAAACTCAGAGTAAAAAAAAATCCCTTTCTAAAACATAAATGGGATGCAAATTATTTTTTGAACTTGAATTATACAAAGTAATTCTCTTACTCTGCCACTGCTTGAGAATGCTGGCCAGCTCTCAGGTAATAAAGCCCACGACGAAGCCAAGCCCATTTTGCTCGCCCAGCACTTGCTCGTTCTGTCACTTCTGTCAAGATGGCAAGGGCAGTGTTCTAACAACCAAACATAATGAGAAGAGTTTATTATGCGTGTGCTTAGTTGCAAAGAGCAGTCACATGCAACAGAGAACAAAATCAAATTAAACCTAAATTTTCCCATGATTTAGTAGTTACTGAGGACTTATATTTGATTTCATCCACATTTGCATACACCTGTCTGGAGATCATACTCCTCAGTTGGGAGCCCTGCCTCTTCATCAAACGTATGCAGTGGTTTCTAGTCATGGACCCAGTAACCGTTTCAGCCATTTAATTTGTGTTTTCATACTGTTTGTTTCATTTGGATGGCACAAATTTGTTTAAACCCGCCCCCCCCAGTACAGAAATATCAGTGAAATGAAAGAAAAGTGGGAACAGTAATCATTTGGTTGTCTGATTTTTGGTGCTCGGCTGCAGGCCCTGGCAGGTGTGGCCACTTTGGGCCTCCAAGCCACATACGCATTCTCCTTGGAAACAGTGTGTGTGTGTGTGTGTGTATGGTGTGCAGACCCAGAAAGGACCCATGACTGCTGGTGCTGAAAACTGAAGGGAAGGGAGCGTGAGAAGCCCACCCATTGCCACCAATGTGATGAAAATATTCATTTTTTTGGACCTGGGATGAAAAAGCTCATTGGGAAAGGCGCCTGTTTTTGGGAGAGGTGCTTAAAAACTAAAACGGGGCCTTACGAATGAAACAAACAGAAACAGATAGTGATTCTATACAGATGGACAAGATTCGTGGTTTCTCCTGATAAAAAGGTATTTTTCAGAAAATTTGTTCCAGAAGACTGCTTTTCCTACTAAGTCTGGAATTTGGAACCTTTGCATACCCTGAACTTTTGTTGTGTGTCCTCTCTAGTTTAAGCAAAGCATGTCTAAGGTGATTTCCTCTCTGTGTTTATTCACACACACTCTCTTCCTGCATCACATAGATTTTCCCTTGTTCACTAGTGTCACACTGAGCATCTAGGAACCTGGTCTGGGGCTTGGTCTTTCTCTGCAGTTCCCTCTAGCTCAGTCTTCGGGCCAAATTATATTTCCCAATGTTCCAACATTTAGCTTTGACAACAAACACAGATCTTGAGGCTAAGATCTGGATCACACTGTCTATTATACTTATTGACAAAACTTTGCTGCTGTGCACACATAAACTCCCTTATGGAAATGGTTGGACATTTTACTGTGAAATATCCACAGTAAATTCAAGGCTGAAGTGAAATTGCACATGAAGTGCCATTATGCATAATGTGCACACACTGCATAAGGTAATACATTTGGGTTTTCAATCAGTTGTGCAATACTGACATCCAACATAAAGAGTTGCACAGCATGATTAATACAAATGCAGAGACAGACATTACATTACCAATGTAGGAAGTCAGCTACTATACTTTCTGTGGTAAGCTCTGGTATAGACACCAATTTGTTGGGCATGTAGCAAAAATCGCTGCAACTATAATTTACTTCTGAATACTTTAAAAATATGACTTTAAAAGACATAATTTCAAAGATATAATCTCAAGTACAATAAACTTCAAATTGTTGTTTGGCACATGTTAAAATGTGTCAATATATGGAGTTCATAACAGCAAAGATCTCAGTGGTTCTTGGAAGAACTTACAATTTATCATTCCTTGCTTGTTTCCATACTGTAGTAAGGTTCACAAGGCAACCATGGTTGCAGTCATTGTTGTTGCAGTCAGTCAGTGAAATCAAATGTATTTAAATAGAAACCTTACTTATTTGTAAGCTTTATTTAATTACAATGCATTGTGCAATAGCTTGTATGAGGTGAGCCACAACTTAAAAACTTCCATCCAAAAGGCTCCCTCTATCGGTTCAACACTGAAATACTATGGAGAACAGGACTGAACTTCTCTATCAGTCTACTTTCAGGTTTGGCAACAATTAAAGGAAGGGACTGAATTTCACACATGACAGCTTCAAAAATGCAGCCTGGTTTGCTGAAGTTATTCCACTTGTGTGGTTACTTCTGCTGTTTTGTAAATGAAAATAAATAGCTAAACACACAGAAATGAATTCAGAAAAATAATAATTCTGGGAAGAAATTGATGAAGGAATCAGCATCAGAGAAGCAAAAATGAAATGTATGCTACACAGGAAATTAACTGACTGAAAGCTAGAGGAACAAATAAAGCACAACGTATTTGGGGGAACCACTTGTTATGTGTCAGAAACATCTCTTAACACAAAAGGCCCATCTCAGAAAAGTTTTTGAACAATTATGCCAATTGCTCCATTTGGTCCTGACCCAAATGAATGAGTGGGAAATATTTTTGAAGTTAGGAGAAGAGTGACAATCTAAGATAATTTGAAATTATTTTGCTTAGTATGAACAGAAGAGGGAACGATTTGTAACCCTGCAAAAAATTAACTCGAATAGAAGAAAAAGTAATTTTGAACCCACAGCATTTTGTGAAAAACACTGCAACCGTTCCAAATGCCTGTACTGCAATGGATAGTTTTTGAAAGAAAATACACAGTACCAAGTCTCCAAGCTCAGTGCTCAAATCCACCACCGCTGCTCCAGCATCACCATCGGTTCTATCTTTTTCAAAAGCCTTTTTGTAGCAGCCAAGAGCTCTGTTTTTATCTCCAGCTATATCTCTGTAGTATTCACCTAAGTAATAAAAAGCACTTCCTAGGTAATTGTCCAGTTTTGCTGCCTTCGAAATACGGGAAAAAAAGAACAGAGAATATTTCAATCACTGCTGCTTTCTTGAGCATACACATAATTGTGTTATATTATCTGTTAACGACAATTAGCAATCTGTCTTTTATATCAATATATATTCTAGAATGACCTCCATGTTGTTTTACTTTTATGAGCAAGAGAAGCTCTTTGGTGTCATTATAAACAATGTGCAAGTTTCCAATTACTCCTCAAATGCACTCACACAACTTGGTACCAGCAGAACACCACACCACTGGTTTCAACTTACAGGCCGTATCACTTTAATTCTCTATGTTTATCACCTCACTACCAAGACAAGCAGTAAGTTGGTCTCAAATATACAGGCAGTTCCAGGTTATGAACAAGATAGGTTCTGCAGGTTTGTTCTTAAGTTAAATTTGTATGTCAGTCAGAACAGGTTAATTTTTAAAGTGTAGCTCCAGTCCAAAATATTTTTTTGTAGCTTTGGATAATACCCCTGTGGAGTTTGCTTTGCTGGATATGCCTCTGTTCAGAAGACTTCGCCTCACTTTCTGTTCGTGTGACAACTGGATTTTGAAAAAAATGGGTTGTCATGGAAATAAAGACTGGTTTTTTTTATATCAGGAGCAACTTGAGAAACTGCAAGCTGTTTCTGGCGTGAGAGAATTGGCAGTCTGCATGGGTGTTGCCCAGGGGACACCCGGATGTTTTGATATATTACCATCCTTGTAGGAGGCTTCTCTCATGTTCCCGCATGGGGAGCTGGAGCTGGCATAGGGAGTTCATCCGCACTCTCCCCGGATTCGAACCTGCGACCTGCCTGTCTTCAGTCTTGCTGGCACAAGGGTTTAACTTGTGCCACCGGGGGCGCCAGTAAGGGTTGGTGATAAAACTTCAACTTCCTTGTGATAACACTCACAGAAGTGAATTTCCCTTCCTAGGGGTAGATTTTCTTTCACTATTGTTTCAGCCCTGTTTGTAACTAGGAGTTTTTTTGTTTGCAACCTGTGGACTGCCTGTATTAGTAGAAGCCTAAACTGATGGGAGCAGATAAGGGGAGCAAGATAACAATTCGACTCCCAGGCTATTTTTATCACTTGGTAATAGTTAGGATGAAACTATTATTCTGTTGCTCATCACTATTAGCCAGCAGTCTAATCACCAGAGCTTAATTACACTCTAACTGCATTCATTACTAATTAAATTGATTAGTCAGCAATCATTATGCCACACGCTTTACCTTCAAAAACTGTGTGACAGCCTTTGATTTATCCTTTCTTGTCTCTTCACTCATAAACCAGTAAGTGAGGCCCAGGCAGTAATGAAAGTCAGCCACTTCGGTTTCTTTTTTAATAGCTCTCTGGAAACTAAAAGAGAAAATGTTTTTTTCAAGGATTACCGTATATACTTGAGTATAAGACGACATGAATATAAGCTGAGGCACCTAATTTAACACAAAAAACTGGGGAAATGTATTGACTCGAGTATAAGCTGAGGGTGGGAAATGCAACAGCTACAGGTAAATTTCAAAATAAAAGTGGATACCAATAAAATTACATTAATTGAGGCATCAGTTGGTTAAATATTTTAAAATATTTAAATAAAACTGTAATTTAAGATAAAACTGTCCGGTTTTGATTAAATCATTATTCTAACCTTCTTCAATGTAAATGTGCTTACACATCCTACCAATAATAAAGCAAGTAAAATAATAAATGTAATAAAAATAATAAAGTAAAATAATGTAAAAATAACAATAATAAATAGATAAAAATAATAAATGCAATAATAATAGAGTAAAATAATAAATGTAATAAAATAATAATAGAGTAAAACAATACATGTGATGATGATGATGATGATGATGATGATAACAGAGTTAAATAGTAAATAACTTTGGCTAGAGTATAAGCCAAGAGGGGCTTTTTCAGTTTAACCAAAAGGGCAGAAAAACTTGACTTATACTCAAGTATATACAGTACCTTATTTCAAATGCCCAACCTTCAAATGCAGACCTTGAAAGAGCTACATTTGTGAACTACTATTCCTAGACCTCAGCAAGTTAAAGACCAAAAAAAAGACCTTTTGCAAATGAAAATGTGACTTACCTTGTTTCTGCCTCAGAGTAGTTCTTTTCTTTGTAATGAATCAATCCTTCAAGATAGTCGGCTTCTGCCAGATCAGGATGTGTCACTTTAAGCTCCTGTGCAATCTATAACAAAATAATAAATTCTGCTAGTTCACCCAGAAAAAATCAATCATTTTAACAAAAGGCCATACAATAAAGGAAAGCATACCAACCTTTGAAGCTTCCCCAGTAAGTCCTTTATTTAGATATGCCTGTCCTTTAAGAGCTATAAGCTTCGGATTGTTGTTTTTATCCAAAACCTAGGGATCAAATTGATATTTGAGATCTCAATCCTCAGAAAACTAAAACTTTATCACAAATGCTTATTTCATCAAACCATTAGTTGCCATTTTTGAAATAGAGTGCCTAATTTTCATCCCACCAGAGGAGATGAAAAAGTCTGATACTATCAGACATTAGTGAATGCTACTCATATTAACTGACAAGGGAGTAAACTTGGAAACATCACTGGTTGAAACAAGTCTGATGTGCATGAAACCTAGATGTGTTATCAAGCTGTGTTTGTACATAAATGATCCCTGCATGAGTTCCAGCTATTTGCAGCTTCCTTCTTAAGTATCCAAGAAGACTGAATGAAAGAATAATATCTTTATTATTTATACTGATATCTGGTTGCATATGAACCTCAAAGGCCAGAGGGGGAAAGACATTCTTTATATAATCAAAAATGGTATGAATGGCGTCTCATCTGTACAGCTTGAATTTATTTCCTAACATGGAAATATGATAAGTTTCATTTTTGAAATGAATGTGCATGCATAGAGGTAAGACATCTTGTCTCATTTGGTTCTTAATTTTGAATAAGTGTTGCTTTATATCAGAGCTACTGATCAGGATGCAAACACCATGTCACCCTATCATCAACAGCTCTGCTCAGGTCTTGCACACTCAGGTCTGTGGCTTCCTTTATTTAGTCTATCCACCTGGAATGCAGTCTTCCTCTTTTCTTACTGCCTTATCCCTTACTACATATTATTGTTTTTTCTAGGGAGTCATGCCTTCTCGTGATATGGCCATAGCAAAATAGACTGGATTTAATTGTCTTGGCTTCTAGAAAGAGCTCAGGCTTGATTTCCTCTAGGACCCATTTATTTCCCTTTCTAGCAGTTAATGCTATCCATTGACAAACTATATGTGCAAAACTGTATTTCTCAAAATGGAGAAACAATATCTCAGAGTTGTTTGTATGCATGACTGGATGTAGGGGAGAAAATTAATGAAAAAGGATCATGTTGGAAACCTTTACAGGCATAACTGCATGCATAGGGAAGGAAGGTTGCTAGCTTTTCTAAAAACTGCAGATCCTATTATGTCAAGGGGAAAACAAACATTTTCAAATATTGAAAGGAACACTGGCCCTCTGGAGAGAGAGAAAGCTGGATTTGGAAATTCTGTGAGGCAGACAGCTCAACAGGAAGGAATGGAAGCAGCATTTCAAATTAATCTAGGCTAGCTAGACATGGTAAAGAATGGAAAGAAGGTAAACTTGGGCTGGGCTGACAGTAAAGATTCCTCTGAATAATATGAACCTGTGATATGAAATAGAAACCATGTCAAGAGACATAACTACTCCTGTCTTGCTACAACAGAAACAAAGAAAGATGCAACTGTTAATTTAGTGAATGTAGAAGGTGAAGGACAACTCAGGTCTCACCTCTCTGTCATTTATATCATCAATTGCATGGGCATAATTACAATTCAAGGCTGGCACAGAATTTATAGAGTTGCTTTTTGAAAAGCTGATCTCATACCTGATCAAGGGAATTTATTGCTTCATCTGCAGCATCAGGGCCTGGAAGTCTAAGCAAGGCCACTGCTTTGAAACAAGAGGCACGTTCTTTGTGTTGCTGAAGGGAACTGTCTTCGTGAAGTTGTCCTAATGTCCTTAAGGCTGCCATCAAAGAAAGAAATCTAGTTCTGAACTTGTTTTAAAATCGCTTTCACTTTAACACCTTAACAATAGAATTCATTTTCACAACTTAAAACTGCTAGGGGTTTAGGAAATAATGATAATGTATTATCTTTATAATATGAGGCATTTTTATTTTTAAAAGTTATTCAAAACCACCTGCTTTTATTTTATAACATGTACCATTTCTACTTTCTACACTTTCAAGGGAACATGAAATAGTATTCACAATAAAATTAAACATATAAATCTTAATACCTAACAGCAATCAGCAGTGTCACCAGAAGATCATAGAAGATGATGGAGACTTCTTTGCTGTTAATTTCAGGATTGTGTAATTATTTCTCACAAATCCACAGATCCAAGATGCTAGCCAGGCTTTTAAAACAGATTCTGAAAGCCTTATATTAAAATAGGCTTGAGAGCTAAATAGCAACTGCACCTGTAGTTCCTACTTGACAGAGATGTTTGAAATTGTCTTTTCCACTGCTTTCATTGTCATTTGGTCAAATCACTTAATTTTTCAATCTTTTTATTCAATCTACTGCTGACTTATGTTTTGAAAGTACTTCATTGAAAAGTGGACTAAAAGTGAACACTATCTGTTTTTCAACAATTACCTTGATTGCAGGAATGAACAGCCTCTTTGTATTTGTGCATTTTCACCTGTACCTCTCCTAAGTAGCACCATGCGACTGGACACTGACTGGTCTGTTGCAAACCTAGCAGGAAAGATTGAATACATTTTAAATGTATGAGATCAGAAGGCTCTTGCTGTTATTTGATCTTTAAGAATGCTGTATAATGCTTCAGTCCATATATATAAATTGACTGCACCCAACATTACTTGCTCAGCCCTTAAACTGGAAACAGTTTGGCTTTCTTTCACAAACATTATTTTTCACGTATTATTTAATATACGAAGGCGGGTCAAAAAGTTTTGCCTCCTGTGTCAAAAAAACTTTATGGATGAACATATAACAGCAGAAGTTGCTACAGATCTTAACAAAACCATTTTGGAAAAATTCAGGGTTTTGCTTTGTGACTCATAATTTTAGCACTGTTTTAACATCATTCAAGTCATTGAATCTGAAACCACAAAGGTTGACTTTTGGACTTCTGAAAGACAACCTACATGGTTTCAGATTCAATGACTTGAATGACATTAAAACAGCTTTAAAATCATGGCCCACAAAGCAAAGCACTGAATTTTTCCAAAATGGTTCTGATGCCTGGATTAAGCTATGGCACAAATGTGTACAAATTGATGGTAACTGTTGAATGGTAGTTTTGCATAGGGGACAGTTCAGGCTATGGTTCGTAGCAACTTCTGCTGTTATATGTTCATTCATAATGTTTTTATGACACAGGAGGCAAAACTTTTTGACCCACCCTTGTATATTAAATATATTGTAGTCAACACTAGGAATGTGGCTTGTTAGATGGAAAACTTAATAACTGTTAAACTTGACATGGTCTAGATCTAACATGTCACTCACAATTAACTTTGGGTTCCTGTTGCCTTCAGAAACTGTCCAATGATAAACTAAATTGATTTTAGTGAGGTTCACTGCTACTGTAAAGTTTTACGGTAACATATAAAGCATAAGTGGATAACAATAGCTCTCCAGATGTTTTGAGGCAAGCCAACTTAGTGGATAGTAAGAGATTAGATCAAAAGGGGATGGTTATATCAAACTCCATTCCTTAACTTCATACTCTGAATAAGCAGTCACTCTGACCTCTTTCCACATTGCTTACCTTCTGTTAGACTTTTTTCAGCTTCGTCATATTTCTTTTCGTGGAAGGACTGAATTCCTAAAGCAGTAAGAGCTGGACCACTTCTTGAATCAATGCCCAATAGTTTCTGACAATAACTCAGGGCCTCCTCATTCAAGCTGCCTAGGAAGATTTATTTAAGCATATCTTAGAAATTGACAAAAAAAAAATCACAAGTAATTTTTCTACGTCCAGAGTTATTCAAGGAAAGAAATTAGGAAAGCCAAAAGTAGAATTAAAAATTAAAACCTTGAATGAAAGTTTAAAGGCTGCAGGGATTACCTGATTGAATGAAGTGTAAGCAAAGAACTTCCAGAGGATAACTCGCAGTCGGGTAGAGACTCATCATATCTTCACAGGCCGTCTTCAGTTTAGCATATTCATGAGGGAGCTTATTTTTGAAAGAGAAAAGCAGTTAGCAATTGTAGCAGCAGTAAAATCAGTAAAAGAAAAAATGTTTTACATTGGAGCAGTGGAAATAAAGGCAATCCTTACTTTTGATAAACACTCAACAAACTCTCCATATAACTTCTGGTGTTCTTCACTTGGAATTGGCTCTGTGGAATTCACAGCCTCTTCATGTGCATTAAGGAGCTGAAAAATAGCATGACAGATATTTCAGGACAGAGCAAGAGAATTCAAGAAAAAGCAAGCTTTTAACAAATGGTGACAAGACGTTTTACTACTATCTGTAACTAAAATTTGTCAAGATACAATTCTACTAGAACACAAACAAAAGGAAAAAAGAGAAAAAATATATTTCTACATTGTTGTTGCCTTAGGATTGCCATTTCTGACTTGTGGAGACCCTGTTGTGGGTTTATTTGGTAGGATTTATTCAGAGGAAGATTTTGCCTTTGCCTCCCTCTGAAGCTGAGAGCATGTGATTTGCCTAAGATCACTCAATGGATTTCAATGGCCGAGCGAGTCTTCAAACTTGGGTCTCCAGAATTGTCCAATCATGCTGGCTTTTACATTGTTACATGCAGCTGCATTTTCTTCCATACAAATATGCACTTATGCAAGGCTGCAAATACACTGCTGCAACCTGGAAATAATTTTAAACAACTACAAAACGCTTCTTAGAATTTATTTATTTATTTATTTATCATGTCAGAAGCCAGTTGAAGTTACAGTTATATTTAAAAACACAAACTAAGTTAAAAATTAAAAAAGTTAAAAACTTGACCTTATACTAAATTTCCTTTGACCAGAAGCTGGCCACTTGGGAGTGCCTCTGGTGTCGCTGTAAGAGGGTCCTCCACTGTGCATGTGGCAGACCTCAGGCTGCATTGTAGTAAGTGGTCTGTGGTTTGCTCTTCTTCACAGTCACATGTCGTGGACTTCAATTTGTAGCCCTATTTCTTAAGATTGGCTCTGCACCTCGTGGTCCCCAAACTCATCCTGTTCAGCACCTTCCAAGCCGCCCAGTGTGGCCAGGAGGGAGTCTCTCATCCTGTATCAGACACGGATTGAGGTTCCGGGTTTTAGCCTGCCACCTTTGTACTCTTGATTGCTGAGATATTCCTGCAAGTAACTCTGTAGATCTTAGGAAGAGATTTCTTGATTTAAGGCATTGGTGTGCTGGCTGATAATCAAACAGAGGATGGACCAGACGTTAATGCCTTGGTCCTTTCATTATTGGCTGCTGCTTCCTGATGGATGTTAGATCGTACAATATCAGCTAAACAGTATAAAGCGTAGACAACCTGTGATAATGTGGCATGTCTTATTAAGGGCCATATCCACTGTTTTAACGTGGCGAGATGTGTTTCATACTGGGCATGCAAATTCAGCAGCAGAGTAGCAAAGCACAAGGGCAGATGTCTTCATTGTGTCTGTTTGTGATCTCTAGATTGTGCCAGTTAGCTTTCATATACTACTTCTAGCGCCCACTTTTTGCTTGATAGTCAAGAAGTGCTTCTTGTAAGTCAGAGCACAGTCTAGGGTAACTCTCAGGTATTTTGCGGTGCTGCAATGCTCCAGTGGAATTCCTTCCCAAGTGATCCTCGGAGCTCGAGATGCTTGTCTGTTCTTATGGTGAAAAGCACATGTCTGCAGTTTAGATGAATTAGGAATCAGCTGGTCTCTGTCCCTTTTGGCAGTGTAAATGTTAAACATTGATGGAACAAGCACGCTCCCCCGAGGCAGGCCATTCTTCTGTTTTTGCCATCTGCTTCTCTGGCCCTGGAACTCAGTAGAACTTGTAGTAGATTTCTTATGAAGCGGGTGAGGTGGCAGTCCTTTGTGATATTATACATTTTTTCTCAGATGAAGGCAATGATTTACAGTGTCATAAACGGCTGACAGGTCTATAAAGATAGCTCCTGTAATCTGCTTCTTAAGATTACTGCTTAGAATAAGGGTGGGATATCCTTTTTACACTTATTTCTTATTTTGGCACTCTCTATATCTCTCCTTTGCTGTCAACTGTAGAATGTTTTTGTTGGGAATCAGCCTGTGTTTGTGTTTCATGATGCTCAGGATCATGATGATCTTGATGTGGGACATGATGAGGGAAATGATGGTGCTGAGGCTGAGGTGCAAGATGGAGATGGTTTGGTCAATGATTTTCATATAGACAATGACAGAGAGGCTCCAGTGCAAAGGGCAGTTTCTCATGAGAATACTCCTGCTGGGCTTAAGGATAATGGTTTACTCCCTCTTTCTGTGAACTCTCAAGATTTGAGTTTGGAAAACAATCTGACACTTGAAAAATTTAATGAACAGCCAGAAAGGGAGTTGAAAACTAGGGGGCTAGAGTTCAGCCAGGATCGACAACAAACTCAATGTTTACCTCACTCCGAAAGGCTTCGTCAGATAAGAGGCAAAAGTGGGGGAAACGAAACTAATTTTTGGGCTTTGGGATATAAGGTTTGCTTCAAGGGAAAGCCTATTAGATCAGGCATCGTTTGGAAATCATGTTCATGTGCCCTGGAAATCCTGTTCAAGGGGTCTTGTTCTTATAAAGATTTTTTAGCATTTTGCTGTGGTCTAGCACCTTCTGGACTATCTTTGCAACCTGTTGATTCCTGTCTGGATAAATACTGCCTTAAATTGTTTTTTTATATCTTTTTGGACATTGCTTTGAATAACTGCATGTCACTGATCTTTTACATTTTGAAATTTTCCTATTTTTACAAGCATTTCTTTCTACTGACTATTTTACTCAGCTTCAATAAAAAGGATTGGTTTTTCACTCAACATGTGGTGTGTTTTAAAGTCAGAGGGTATTGTTTCTGTTCTGAAGTGCAACAGTTTTTTCCAAGAAAGCATGCTTGCAATTACAGCAATAAGGTATGTCCAGCTCGATCTACTGCTCCTCCCATGCTTGTTTTCATCCAAAATAAAGCTGATACCTGACCGAAGGCTGATGTGGAAAGCTTGTGTAAAATAAGAATGAAAATGTAGCATGCATCTTTTACCCACTAACAATTCTACACATATCCCAATTTGGCGGGGGGTGGGGGTGGCAGAAGCAAGTATCATTCACCAAGTTTAGTGGAAAATATACTGCATGATCATTTCTGAAAAATGATGCCATTCCAGTCAAGGAGGTAATATATATGAAGCAGGGACAGAAAAGGGTATAACCAAAAAAAATCTGAAGTAGTCACCTGCTATGGTACTTTTAAAATAAGTGTTCACATTTCCTGCTGGGTCCAAAATAGTTGAATCATAGATTCAAACAACTGTTTCTTAAAATTTGTATATTGGTCTCACTTTCCATTTGAAAATTCAAAACCATCTGCCAAGGTTATTCTGAAATTTATCAGGAATATTAATTTGTTTATTATATTTATATCACACTCTTCTCGACCCCAAAGGAGACTCAAGGCAGCTTAACATATGGGCAAGTATTCAATACCTTGACACAACATATAATTAAAATAAACATTAAAATTAAAATTAATACACACTAAAACATTTAAAAACATTACACTCACGATTAAAACCACACCACTCATAATCTGCATGTGATATTGTTTTAACTGAACCGATACTTGTTTTTTAGCTTCTGTACAAATAATTGTTTTTAATTCCCTGCAGTTTTTTACATGCCAATAAGCTGCTTTGGAATCTGCATAAGAAGAAAGGTGAGCTATATATTAAATAAATAAATACAATTGTATAAATGTTAGGGGTTTAAAATGACAAAATATCCAAACAGAAGCCTTACCAACTGCTGTGTTTCATTATCCTGGACATGTGTGCCTTCTTCCAGTAACTGAATCAGTCTCTTCCAGAGCTGATGAAGCTCAGCATTGTCTGCACCTTCTTCCCGTCTTATTTTTATCAGCTTGTGCCACATTCGAGCCACCTGTCAAGACAACCAGTCTAGCTTTAGTGGCTTTTCAAATCAGAAGCATGTTTGATCTTTGACTGCTAGAGAATTGGAAAACATTTTCCAATTCCAGAGATCAAAGTGAATGTCTTTTGCTTAACTGAGATGTCAGACGCAATAAAGAAATAGCATTATAAGTCGACTTTGCAGTGAGGCTTATACTGTTCACTGAGCCATACAACTCCATAAATTGATTTAGTGCTATGATGTGGACAGATCTCCTCTACACATTATTAATGGTGGCTTCCAGTTTAGAAGCTCCATAAGAACTGAATTGCAATCAGTTCTTATGGAGCATTCAAACAAAGATGTCAGCGAACTACATTCTCATGCTTTCAGGGTCACTCATCTATACTGGACTTTTTTTTTAAAATACAAGATTTGTGACAATGCTTTAATAATAAAATATAGCCTTCTATAGTATGAATAGGCAAGGCCCTTTTAAGGCTTTAAAGTTTCTTAAAACTCTAAAATATCCTTTATAGAAGCTGAATACATTTTATCACTTTTTGCTTCCATTTTATTGCCTACTAATTGCCCCGAGAACAGACTGATACTAGGAAAATTAAGAATTTGTTTACCTAAAAGAGCTTTTCATTACTATTTCCTCTCATTCTTTTTGGTGCAAAAATGGAGAGGAGAGCAAGTAAATAATTAAAGTCTCCCCCCATAGCTACAGAAACTGATGAACAAACTAGACACTTTTTAAAGTGCAATCAAGAAGGCTATCCATTCTTAAATGTCTCACCTAAATTCACCCACTAAGGAAGAAAACTGACCTTAAAAGGAGGAAAGTTTTTATTAATGTTGCTGAGAATGATATGTCTTTGAGTAAATAGGGGTTTTTTTTTTGCAGTTTCTCCAGTTGCTCCTGACACGACCAAAAAATAATAAAATCCAGATAATCTGCTTTGAACTAGATTATATGGCATAATACACACATATAATCCAGATAACGTGGATTACCTGCTTTGATAATCAGGATTATAGGGCAGTGTAGAAGGGGCCTTATAGGGAAGAGAATTGCAGATTATTAAAGTATTGCATATACTCCAGTACAAGCAGAGTTTTTCAGCCCTTTTTAAAGGCTGAACTCCTCCCCGCCCTCAGCTTATACGCAACTCAAGGCTATTTATTATTTTACTCTGTTATTATTATTATTATTATTATTATTATTATTATTATTATTATTATTTTATTACATTTATTATTTTACTCTATTCATTATTATTGTTATTATTATATTTGGATTATTTTACTCTATTATTATTTTTATTACATTTATTATTTTACTCTATTTATTATTGTGATTACATTTATTATTTTACTCTATTATTACTTGAAGGATACATAAGCACATTTACACTGATGAAAGTTAGAATGGTTTAATCAGAGTTGGGCAGTCTAATCTTAAATTACAGTTTTATGTAAATATTCAAAAACATTTAACCTACGGATGCCTCAATCAATGTAATTTTATTGGTATCTATTTTTATTTTGAAATTTACCAGTAGCTGTTGCATTACCCACCCTTGGCTTATACTCGAGTCAATAAATTTTCCCAGGTTTCTTTGCGGTAAAATTAGGTGCCTCGGCTTATATTCAGGTCAGCTTTTACTCAAGTATATATGGTAGGTACAATAAAGCCTATGTGGGTCTTCTTTTTAAATTCTACTTTCACTAAATTGCAAAAAGCAATGTTTCTGCAGCACTGAATAATCTTCATGAAGATAAAAAGGAAAAAAAACTATCAATATACTTTCAGATATTATAATAGTAGAAAAACTGACACTGAAAGAATCAATAAAAAAGCAATGAGTGCATACAGCAGATGGTCTGAAAATATGCTATACTAACTACAAGGTTTTCATGGAACATTTGCTCATTAAGAAACTGACTTTCTTAATGGTTGGCTTAATGAAACCTACGTATTGCCAGTGGAAAATGTAAAAGAAAAACTGACATACACTCCCCCACACCTTTAACTTAAAAGGCTTTTTGGTAATGAAAGCATCAAAGTATTTGACATGCTTTCAGTACCAAAAAGGGCTTTAAAAAGAATTAGATCTGTATAAAGTTATCAAGACAATTTCTTTGCAGATTCACTGCGACGGTAATTGAAGCTGATGTTCTCAGCCTCTAAAGGAAATGAAAATAAGCCCTAAAATCTGAAGTGTCAAAAAAGGAGCCTGAGGGAAAACAGTGACGTGCAGTTATGAAATGGAATCACCGAGGTAATTGGGTCAGAATTCAGTCATATGGGAAAATGGATTGCAAGATGCCTCACAGCTATGTTTGAAAATAAACCTTTCTATTATTTGATTATATATTGATTAAATTTTCTCAAATCAGTTGCAGGAGGTAGTAACTTACCTTAAAACAATGTTAACATGTATACTCCCATATAAGTCTGCCTCATATATATGCTGAGGCCATGTTTGAAGACCAAAACTGACTATGCTCTTACCCGTGGATAAATCAAGGGAAAACCTTTTGGCATGCAACATACAAATCTTTTCCTCTCCTTTTAAAAAATGCATAGAGAGCTGGTAATCGATAGGTACCACCTTGGTAGGAAGGTAACGCCGCTTCATGCAGTCATGCCGGCCACATGAGAGAGATTACCAGATCTAACTCTATATTTCGAAGCGAGTTGTTTAGATTAAAGATTGGATTACATTACAAAAAAGAAAGGCCTTGACATTGGAAGGACATGACCTGAGGGCAGGTTGGCATGCGTATTTGTGGTATGAGAAGAAAAAGAATTTTGGAAACCACTTCATACACTCAGCTCTGCTAAAAGTCTGGGACAAATATAAAAAAGACTATGTAGTAAAACTCCTTTATGGCTATCATCCCTTGAGGCATGACAACGAAGAGAGCTAGGATGGAGTGAATGGCCTACATATCGTGACATTCGAAAGGGAGAAGGGAATGAGTTCAACGTTAAGATTCAATAAGAGCTAAGGGTTAATTTTAGAAACTTATTTTGGTTTCAATATCATCAAATCAAAGAATATTATAATAAGGACAGTAAAGTAGGATTTGAAGAGAAGCAGTCAGAATGGGATAAAATACTGATGAACAAGAAGAAAATTATTGTGAATATTTACAGGCTACTGTTGGGATGGAATAAAAAAAGGGAACAGATTAAAGACTGCATGACCAAACGGGTAAGAAACATAGGGAGGACAATGTTAGATGAATGGGAAACAATGTGGAACAGAAAATTAAAATACACCTATGCCTACAATTTAAAAGAAAATTGGCTAAAAATGATGTATCAATGGTACATGACCCCAGAGAAAATAGCAAAAATCTCCAAAGAATATAATCATAACTGTTGGAAGTGTGAGAAACAAGGAGGATCTTTTTTCATATGTGGTGGTCATGTGACAAAGCAAGAGGGTTTTGGAAAGAAATTCATGAACTGTGCCGAAAAATTCTCTATGCACCCTGCGTATTTCTTATTAGGGATGACAAATATGGAGTGGAATATTAATCAAGATAGAGACAGAAAGATTTACCATCAAGATATGAATGGATTGAGAAAATGCTAGCAATCATGAGTATGCATAAATTAACATCTTTAGTATCCTCCCACACACATTTTTTTCCTTTTTACTGTAATCCTGCTTAAATCTATAATAAAACGTATTTCAAAAAATGCAGAGAGAGAACATACTTAGGAAAAGCTAAACAGGAGGAGAGGAGAGTTTGAGGGGTTATAATATGTGTAACTTGCTGATCTTACGGTTTGCGTTTCTATAAATACATATAGGGAAAGTAATATACTGTATTTCATCACATAATAGTTGCACTTTTATTCCTTTTGTTGGAAAAAAGGGGTGAGACTACTACGTGATTAAATAAAATTGGGGTCTTGTCAGCCAGTTTCTTTTTAAAAAACCAAAAATGTTTCTTACCTCAAGGCAAAGAGTTAGTTTAAACTGTCTTTAAGGAGAAAATGGGTGGTGCAGCGGGTTAAACTGCTGAGTTGCTGAACTTGCTGACCGAAAGGTTGGTGGTTTGAATCTGGGGAGCAGGGTGAGCTCCCGCTGTTACCCCCAGCTTCTGCCAACCTAGTAGTTCAAAAACATGCAAATGTGAGTAGATCAAAAGATACCACCTTGGCGGGAAGGTAACGCCGCTTCATGCAGTCATCTATGGACAATACCGGCTCTTCAGCTTAGAAAATGGAGAAGAGCACCATCGCCCAGAGTAGGACACGACTAGACTTAATGTTAAGGGGAAACCTTTACTTTTTAAGGAGGAAATGGAGGAGGGAGAACACAATGTTTGTTTTTCGCTTTGTTTAAAACTTCCTGCGATGACTGCAAGAAGAAAGGGAAAAAAACTGGGACCAAAAAAATAGGGGTGCACCGGCGACTATTATGTGAAGAAATGTGGTAAATGAAGAAAAAGAATGAGCATGCATCCTGAATAAAATGTGGGAGGAAAGAGCAAGGAAAGCAACAGTAACTTGTCTCTATTAGGAACCCTATTACCTGCTGCAATCTTTAATAAAGACTTCCTGCATAAACTTCTCTGCAGACCCCATTTTTAATACGATCTTACAGACCTTCACTTTGGGTCCCTAGCATTGACCAATGTACAAACTGACCCAAGTTTGGAGGGGGGGAAAATTCTGTCAACTTATACCGCAGTGTATACAGTAATAGAATATGTGGCCACAGCATCCCCTGGAAGGATAGAGAAGGTAATCTTTACAAGACTGTTGCTTGTAAAAACAATAAAGTCCTTAAGGAATATTTGCCAATCTCAAACTAGCAAAAAACATCTGCTGGCAACATTCTTTTGTTAAAGAAACCAATTACAAATATTGATTGCAGCAAATGAAGATCAATGAGATAATGAGTAACCTGAGGGTACTTTTTTTCTTGCTGATACAGGTCTACCAGTTTTCTACAGACATCACACCACTTCTGTTTATCTGTGCTAGAAAAAAAGGACAAAAGAATGCCTATCAGTACACCAGTGTTACAACAAACATCGCACATCAATTTAAAATGTGACATATGTTAAGATACTCTTATGTATTTTTTTGTTTTCAATGCCATCTTCAATGAATGAATATTGAAACATGTTTCTTGTAACCAATTCAAAGTTCTCTCATCCCCTATGTTCTCTAGTGCCTTTCTTTTACTTATTTGTATGTACTAACCACCTTCCCCTCTCTGATCCTCTGATCACATCTGTTTCTGGACTAGTTTCCATTTAATTGGCCCCCACTTCTATGAAGCTGGAAGCAGTAGGGACCTTTTCCTTAATAAACTATAAGCAATGTACACGCTTCCCCACCTTCCCACTTCATTATCACAGCAACCCTGTAAAGCAGGTGAGTTTCAGAATGAGTGACTGGCCCAACGCCACTCAGGTGGGTTCCATGCCTCAGTGGGGATTCAACACTGTGATCACTACATACACCTCACGGGGTCTTTGTTTTTCTTTTTGCAAAGGCATGTTGTTTTCCTAAATGTTTTGGTCTTGAGCAAATGGAAAAGATGCTTCCTCGTAACAGGAGCCATGCACAATCTATTATTTCCTTTCCCTCTCAATTGGCTTATAGGACTTTGTGTGATAGGGAAGTGGAGAAGATTGTGAAGAAGACTGGTGAATCTTACCACATAAAGTATTTTACAGAATTCTTTTACTATTTTGCATGAATAGATTTCCAGAAATCTACCTATTTTGTATTGCCTGAAGCTGGAATTTGACTCGAAGATAGAAAGATTGCCAGGTGGTGATGAATTCTATACTTTTGTAGGCAGGCCTGTAGCGAGGGGGTGGTTTTAGGGGTTCAACCCCCCCCCCCCCGAAATGTTTCAGATTTTTTTAAAAAACCTAGTTTACTCATGAATTTTAACTGGTTAACCAAATCCCCATGCTAAGTCTATGAGATGCAAAAAATTAAGAGTCCCCCCAGAACTGTAAGCACTATCTCAAGCAAATATTGACAATTTATTCACACTGTCATTACTTGCAGCAATAGCCGATGTAGTGAAGCAACCAAGTTGGGTGTGTGTGTGTTGAATGCTCTCATTAAGGAGGCCAGACTTGGTGGAGGTGGTTGACAGGGGCGGAGCTGCAGGCTATTGAAGGTTGCTCTGCCCCCTGCTGTGCTCTTTGCTTCAGCGTGAGCTAGGAGGCAGGTTTCAACCCCCCCTCCTGAAATTTTCAACCCTCCCTGAAATTTTCAACCCCCCCCTCCCAATTTCAACCCCCCCCCAAATTGTCAACCCTCCCCAAAACACCCCCCCCCCCCCCGCTGAAATTGTCAACCCTCCCCGAATTTTTTTTCTGGATACGGCCCTGTTTGTAGGTATAATTTAGCACTATAAGAATGCTACTAAAACAAATAACAGAATGAAAATAAGCATCATACGAATTTTATATTGCTGCAAATATTTAAAGATCACCAGCTTCTTTCTTACCTTTCATAGAGTTCTAGGAGTTTCTGGTAAACATTAACCAAATCCTCCCTCACATCTGCACCGTTTGTTTTTTCATACAAATTTGCCAGTCCCTAGAAAATGAAAGTTATATTTAATCAAATCCTGATGTATACTGTGTTACTGAGGTGACCTCTTAATTCACTTCAGTGCTAATCCAATAAACACTTTTCTGTACATGAACACGTGGGTGCGCACTACAGCAGTGGTTCTCAACCTGTGGGTCCCCAGATGTTTTGGCCTTAAACTCCCAGAAACCCTAACAGTTGGTAAACTGGCTGGGATTTCTGGGAGTTGTAGGCCAAAACACCTGGGGACCCACAGGTTGAGAATCACTGCACTACAGTAATCTTGAAGAATAGGCTTGAGGGTCCATCTACACCTGAGAAATAATGCACTTTGATGTCACTTTAACGGCCATGGTTCAATATTATGGAAACACGTATGTTGTATTTTTATATGTTCTTTTAATTTTTTCTGCCAAAACGTGCTGGCATTTCATCATACTATAACTAACAGGATTACACAGAATTGAGCAGTGGCAGATAAGCTAGTGTCAAGATGCATTATTTATACAGTGTAGATGTGCCCTAAGAGCCCAGGATCACTGAAGTATCTCAGCACCCTCACTACCACCACCATCAAACATCTCAGCAACTCCATTACCACCATCATCCCAACAACAGAGAGGAAACAGATGTTTTTCGTTCTTGTTGGGGAAGTGTTGTAGTCCCTGCTATCAAAATTTTCATCTTTGTTACCAGGTGATGTTCACTTCGCTGGGTAGTGAAGGGAAGTAGGCAAGGCTCTTAGGATACTTGGGAAAGTGGAGGAAGACTACATGTGGCATCATATGGTGCAAATATTCCAGAAATGGAGGTCTGAAGATGCCCCCTATTTTTGGAAAATCTGCAACTTTATGGTGCAAATATGGTTTTTTGAGTATTTTAAGATGTTGTACAAATATTTAAAATGTTACGATGTTAAATATTATTAATTTTATATTATCACTACTAGAGATCCAGTAAAATGTGCTAAATCTAATCCCAACTGAATTTGGACATAGAACTTTACCTCTGTAGTTCAAACGGAAGATCTTTCCAGATGGAAGAAAATATGTTTACAATATTTGTCATGGTATTGTCTGAAGAGCAAGCTGAGCAGCAGTGTTCCTGATGCATTAGCAAACAAGGAAGAACAATCTCCTTGAAAGTGCTGCCAGAAAGGATTAAAGTGCTCATTAAAATGGTCTGGTGTGGTTGTACTTCAATCCTTTACTTCTGTAAGACATGGAGGCTTTCTTCCCACATCATGGAAAATGATACTGAATGCCTACTTGCCTGCCATGCCAGCAACTGCCCTGGTTCAAGTTCAGTGGCCTTCCTGTAGGCACCTTGGGCTTGGTCAGGTTGTTCCAGCTCAGCAGCTGCCAGGCCAATGAATACCCAGGCATTGTAGTTATTTTTTTCTTGTTTCAGAACAGTCTGCAAAAACACATTTGTGTATAAAGCACTACACAATACAAAGACAACAATTAACACACATTTCACAGCTGAAAAAGCAGAACTTGTGTCTCACTCGGATACATCACTGTGATGTACACTGCCCTATCAAAAAAATAAAAATCAGGATAATGCATGACATTGAAAGCTATAGAAGAGCATATCTAAAGAGAATACATATGTTTTGTACATGATTTGTCCCAAAAGTAATGAAAATGATCTTTTTTTTTGCACAGCCCAGAAGGGCCAGGAAAGGAAAGTGGGCATTCGGGAGAATGGTATGGCACTCTCATAGAGTTGGATCATTTGCTTCGAGCTCGGGCTTCTAGCACAGTGGGAGAATCATGATATCCAGTGTACAACATAATTATTGTTTTGCAGTAGATCAAAGTGTCCACAGCTACAGAGAAATACTATATGATTCTAAAATACAATGAAAATAATATTTAAAATGGCGAGGATTCCTCCAAAAACATCCCATTTCACATGAAAAATGCTTAGTTTACATCCTCACCTTGCAGTGTTTCAGTGCTTCTTTGTATTCTTTATTTCTTATGGCATCTCTGGCATTTTTCAGTGCTGCTTTCACTTCCTTGTTTGACATAACTGCTGATACTATTAACATAAGATAACTATTATGTAGCAAACAATATTAGTTCTTACAACTTACCAAATTATTGCTTTATCAATACAATATCTGGTCCAGATACAGAACCCAATCAAAGCAAACACAGTTGATATACACAACAACAATGCTTTCATCCAACAGTATGCCATAATTCTGGAGAATCCTGGTTTTCTTAGTCATGCATGGAACCCATTTGCTTTTTCTTGATTTTCTCCTACCAACAAGAATGGCGAACTCTAAAAATTGAAAACTGATCATATCATGTAACTCAGGTCTCCTGCCTTGTTGCAAGCTAGAACAGTGTTTCTCAAACTGTTCAAAACACAACCTGGTGTTTTGAACTTCAGCTCCCAGAAATCCCAGCCAGCTTACCAACTCTTAGGAATTGTGGGAGTTGAAGTCCAAACATCTGGAGGAGCACAGTTTGAGAAACTCTGAGCTAGAATAATAAAGTATGTTTACCAATGGTGACTTGCAAATAATACATCCATTCAGGAGCCCTAGCTATACTACCCACTGAATCTTACTTTGTGTTTTATAAGGATAGCAGGCTAGCTTAGGAGAGCAGGAAAAGATGCCACATAAACATTAGGAAGAACTTCCTGAGGATACGAGCTGTTCAGCAGTGGAATATGCTGCCTTGGAACATGGTGGTCTTTCCTTCTTGAGAGGTTTTTAAGCAGTGCGTACTTCCTGCAGGACAGAAGGGGGTTGGACTAGAGGGCCCTCGTGGTCTCTTCTACGACAAGCCAAACAACTTGCAAATATACACAATCTCTCCAACACATTACCACCATTTCATCAGCTCCTTCTCCATGCAAAGAAATGTTACAATTTTGTATCAATATGCATCACGCAAACCAATGAAGCAATATTTTTGTGAATAGCTTGGGCTAGGCAGTGCTCTCCCTACTTGGTCAGTTGTGACATCCCTATGTAAAAGAAACAAGTAGACAAGACAGTCAATGGCCAGGAGGTTCAAGAGGAATAAATGGCTGAGAAGGCTGCTGTCATATTCCACCATCTACCTCTCACCAGCATATAAACTAGCCTAGCCTTATTATCTTGGAACTGGTAGCTGGGGATTGGTTTGACTAAATGATCATGACAGAAGCTGAATTTTAACAAGACCTGAGCATTACAACTCACCATCAGTACTATGGTACTTTCCAGAAGTATAACCAGACCAAATAGCAGTTGACATTCAGGAGGAAGTGACTGGCTTTAGATAAGATTTGGGTAAACTATGGCCCTTAGGATCACAAGCACCTCTGATCTCACTGCTATTTTTGTGAGCCTTGACTTTTACAGACTCCCAAACTGCTCTATTGCAGATTTGTTTTAAAGGCGAAAGGGTGGAGGTAAGCATCCAATACTCTTTCATTCACAGGTCCCTTTTTTAACACCAAAACCTACCCATTTTTCAGCAAAAAATTGGATCCACCTGTGCTAGACATCTGTTATTATTAGTATTAAAGTAAAGGTAAAGGTTTCCCCTTGACATTATGTCTAGTCATGTCCAACTTTTAGGGGGACTGTGCTCATCTCCATTTCTAAGCCGAAGAGCAGGCGTTGTCCGTAGACACCTCCAAGATCATGTGGCTGGCATGACTGCATGGAGCACTGTTACTTTCCCTCTAGAGTGATATTTATTGATCTACTCACATTTACATGTTTTTGAACTTCTAGGTTGGCACAAGCTGGGGCAAACAGCGGAAGCTCATTCCGCTCCCCAGATTCGAACCACTGACAGCAAGTTCAGCAGCTCAGTGTTTAAACCTGCTGCGCCATTTTTACTTTATAAATATTTACTTTATTTTTATTCTGCCTTTCTCTCCATAGGGACTCAAGGCAGCTAACGGTGACATGACACAATACAATACAATTTTTAAAACAAGATGAATGCCTGTGCATATGAATATAAACATTAACAAAAAACAAATTAAATATATGTGTCATGAGTATGGATGTATAAGTACAATTAAAATTTATTTTTTTATTTTTTTTAGAGGTGTGTTCAGAATACATTTCTTTAAGCCTGTTTTGAAATGTCTTCAAATCATAGAATCATAGAGCTGGAAGAGACCTCATGGGCCATCCAGTCCAACCCCCTGCCAAGAAGCAGGAAAACTGCATTCAAAGCACCCCAGCTTCTGTTTAAAAACTTCCAAAGAAGGAGCCTCCACCACACTCCAGGGCAGAGAGTTCCACTGCTGAATGGCTCTCATAGTCAGGAAGTTCTTCCTCATGTTCAGATGGAATCTCCTCTCTTGTAGTTTGAAGCCATTGTTCCGCGTCCTAGTCTCTAGGGCAGCAGAAAAAAAAGCTTGCTCCCTCCTCCCTATGACTTCCTCTCACATATTTATACATGGCTATTATGTCTCCTCTCAACCTTCTCTTCTTCAGGCTAAACATGCCTAGCTCTTTCAGCTGCTCCTCATAGGGCTTGTTCTCCAGATCTGTGATCATTTTAGTCGCCCTCCTCTGGACACATTCCAGCTTGTCAATATCTCTCTTCAATTGTGGTGACCAGAATTGGATACAATATTCCAGGTGTGGTCTAACCAAGGCAGAATAGAGGGGTAGCATTACTTCCCTGGATCTAGACACTATGCTCCTATTGATGCAAGCCAAAATCTCATTGGCTTTTTTGCCGCTGCATTACATTGTTGACTCATGTTTAACTTGTTGACCAAGAAGCAAGTACTGCTCTTGGGCCATGTGTTCCCCATTCTGTATTTTTGCATTTCATTGATGCAGGCTAAAATCCCACTGGCTTTTTTTTTGCCGCTGCATCACATTGTTGGCTTATGTTTAACAAGAGGCACGTACTGCTCTCGGGCCACGTGTTCCTCATTCTGTATCTTCGCATTTCATTTTTTCTGCCTAAGTGGAATATCTTGCATTTGTCACTGTTGAACTTCATTTTGTAGTTTTGGCTCATCTCTCTAATCTGTTAAGATCGTTTTGAATCCTGCTCCTGTCCTCTGGAGTATGGCTCTCCCTCCCAATTTGGTGTCGTCTGCAAACTTGATGATCATGCCTTCTAAGCCTTCATCTAAGTCATTTATAGATAGATAAAGGCTTAGAAGGCATGATCATCAAGTTTGCAGACGACACCAAATTGGGAGGGTTAGCCAATACTCCAGAAGACAGGAACAGAATTGGCGACTGTTTGCATGGATCATATAAAGATCTGCATTTCTAATTACGCAAGTGTAAGCCTTCAGGTGGCCTTACCAAACTACAAATCTCAGGATTCCACAGCATTGAGACATGGAAGCTAAAGAGGTGACAAGCTGCATTCATTCTGCAGCAGGCCTGGGCAAACTTGGGCCCTCCAGGCGTTTTGGACTTCAACTTCCACAATTCCTAACAGCCTACCGGCTGTGGAATTGTGGGAGTTGAAGTCCAAAACGCCTGGAGGGCCCAAGTTTGCCTAGACCTATTTTACAGGGATAGGGACGGAACCCTATAAAGGCCAAAAGACTTTGCAAGTCAATCTTTGAGAACGAGGATTGAGAGGATCATAAAGGCGACCCAACGAAGATGGACAGACCACAGGGGAGCTTTATACCGGCCGGTGGGCGACCCACTGCCCCAGAGACGCCTCCTGGACGGTCCTTCCTCTCGGTTCTTCCCTCTCCAGGGACTCACTGCAACAGCCCATTCGCAGAGCTCCAACCGGAAGACTTCGCCTGAGGCTGCCTGTCAATCACGCCTTGCCACACAACCACCGCCGTAGCCCCGCCCACTGGAATGGAACGCAGTGCGCAGGCGCGTGGAAGCGCTTGGTTTCCCCCCTCACCTAACTCCGCCTTCTTTCTCTGACGTCAGAAGGAAAAAGAATAACAATCCCAAAGAGTGTCACAGTCAATCTCTTCCCCAGCGTCGAAGAGGCGGGAAGTATCGTTCCGCAAAAGTTCCGTCGTCACAAACGGAAGAGATTTCGTCTGAATTCCCCTCATAATTTGGGTGCAGAGTGAATGCAGTTTGATGCTGCTTGGAACTGCCATGGGTCAATTCTTTGGAATCATGGGAGCCCCCGGTGGCGCAATGGGTTAAACCCTTGTGCCGACAGGACTGAAGACCGACAGGTCGCAGGTTCGAATCTGGGGAGAGCAGGGATGAGCTCCCTCTGTCAGCTCCAGCTTCCCCTGTGGGAACATAAGAGAAGCCTCCCACAAGGATGGTAAAACATCAGAACATCCCGGCGTTCCCTGGGTAACGTCCTTGCAGACGGCCAATTCTCTCACACCAGAAGCGACTTGCAGTTTCTCAAGTCACTCCTGACATGAAAAAAGGGAATTGTAGTTCTACAAAGGCTTCAGGCATGGGCAAACTTGGGCCCTCCAGGTGTTTTGGACTCCAACTCCCACAATTGCGGCTATTAGGAATTGTGGGAATAGTTCTACAAAGCCTAATAGCCGGAATTGTGGGAGTTGGAGTCCAAAACACGTGGAGGGCCCAAGTTTGCCTTTGTAGAACTACAATTCCCTTTGTAGAACTACAATTCCCATGCCTGCAAGTTTAGCTGTCTCTAAGATGGTGACCTTGAAAAACTACAACTCCCATGGTTCCATATTGAGGCATGGCAGAGAAAGTGGAGACAAAACTGCACCCACGGTCTTAACATACTAGAACTGTATCTCCATCCAACTCTATACTCTGTTGCAGCCTGGGAGTTGCAGTTCTCCACGCCCCTTGCCTTTGCCCACCCACTTCCCATACGACAGACATACGTGCTTCTTATATCCGAAAAGGATATAAGCTGCAACCCTGGTGTCTTCTTCTTCTCAGGTATGCATGATGGGAGTTGTAGTTTCCCTTGAGGCCAAGCTGGAGCCCATGGGAACATGGACCATGATATTCCTGAGCCTCTTTTTGGAAGGGAGGTCCAAGTGGAATATATCCCTCAGAGAGTCATGAGACAAGCAGCCCTTCTCTGGAAAGTTCAGAAAAAAGGGAACTTCGCCTGCTTTAAAGCCTCTCTGGAGCCTTTGATGTGGTCCTAGGGAAGCAATGGGCAGCGAAAGGGGAAACCTTTGCTCCATCATCCCCATCCTCACAACTCTAGTTCTACTCTCTGGTTTTGTGAAGACGAGGCTTCTGCAAGGCAAGCAGGACAGCTGGGGGAAGAAGCCCAACGTGGTGCTGGTGGTCTGCGACTCCTTCGTAAGTGGTTTGAACTTTTAACAACTTAGTTATTTTGTGTGTGTATGTAAACATCAAGCCACCAATTTTATTTTCTTTTTTATTTCTTAAAATAATTTTATTGACGACACATTTTACATATTAATATAAAGAGTAATACAGAAATTAAGCAGAAGAAGAGTGAGACTTTTTAAAAAAGAGTCTTGAAATTCAGAAAGTCTGAAAGTAATCAGGGAAGAACATAGAAAAAAAAGAAATAATAATAAAAAGGAAGGAAGGTGCAAAAGACAAATCAAAAAGGGTATTCATTAAGTATTCCTCCATTATTATTATTATTATCTATATAAATAAAAATGTAATGTTCGTTTGTGGGATTAACAGAACTCAAAAACCACTGGACGAATTAACACCAAATTTGGACACAAGACACCTAACAACCCAATGTATGTCCTTCACTCAAAAAATTTGGTTTTGTCATTTGGGAGTTGTAGTTGCTGGGATTTATAGTTCACCTATAATCAAAGAACATTCTGAACCCCACCAACGATGGAATTGAACCAAACTTGGCACACAGTTCTCCCATGACCAACAGAAAATACTGGAAGGGTTTGGTGGGCAGTGTCCTTTGGTTTTGGAGTTGTAGTTCACCTACATCCAGAGATCACTGTGGACTCAAACAATGATGGATCTAGACCAAACTCTACAAGAATACTCCATATGCCCAAATGTGAACACTGGTGGGGTTTGGGAAAAATAGAATCTTGACATTTGGGAGTTGTAGTTGCTGGGATTTATAGTTCACCTACAATCACAGAGCATTCTGAACCCCACCAATGATAGAATTGAGCCAAACCTCCCACACAGAACCCCCATGTGAGCCACAGCAACACGTGGCAGGGGATAGCTAGTACTATATATGTATCTTAAAAAGAAAAAAGAAAAAAAAGATGTTATTGGATCCCACTTAATCATCCTGTTGTATGGCTTTTTCTTGTCCGTTAGTCTTCCTTTCTTATAATCTTGAATAAGCTCTCTTGTAATCTTGAATTTTCATTATCTTTACAAATTTAAATTAACATTTTCATTACTTTTTGTTTTAAAAATTCTTTAAATAGAGTCCAATCTGTTGTTTTTTTCGGGGTACTTCATTACTTACTTACTTAGGCGATCCCTCGTTGGACGAGTAAGATGGTCTTCCATTATGGATTTCCTTGTGGGTCCGTATGTGGCTGTGGAGCCCTATTCTTGCTCTGCATCTTCTTCCGCAGTGAGGGCATTGGTTTCCAGGTGGGAGGCGGTCCCGGTCGGGGTTGGCTTGACGCGCCTTCCTCCTGGCACGTTTCTCTCTTTCACCCTCCACTCGTGCCTCCTCAAATTCTGCAGCACTGCTGGTCACAGCTGTCCTCCAGCTGGAGCGCTCAAGGGCCAGGGCTTCCCAGTTCTCAGTGTCTATGCCAGCGTTTTTAAGGTTGGCTTTGAGCCCATCTTTAAATCTCTTTTCCTGTCCACCAACGTTCTTCCGTTCTTAAGTTCGGAGTAGAGCAACTGCTTTGGGAGACGGTGGTCGGGCATCCGGACAACGTGGCCGGTCCAGCGGAGTTGATGGCGGAGGACCATCGCTTCAATGCTGGTGGTCTTTGCTTCTTCCAGCACACTGACATTTGTCCGCTTGTCTTCCCAAGAGATTTGCAGGATTTTCCGGAGGCAGCGCTGATGGAATTTCCAGGAGTTGCATGTGACGTCTGTAGACAGTCCACGTCTCACAGGCATAGAGCAGGGTTGGGAGGACAATAGCTTTATAGACAAGCACCTTGGTATCCCTACGGATGTCCCGGTCCTCAAACACTCTCTGCTTCATTCTGGAAAATGCTGCACTTGCAGAGCTCAGGCGGTGTTGTATTTCGGTGTCGATGTTGACTTTGGTGGAGAGGTGGCTGCCAAGGTAGCGGAAATGGTCCATATTTTCTAATGTTACAC